ATAATAGAATCACTCGACCTCTTAAAAATGGCGCCATCCGATTCTGTACGAGGCAAAACTAAATAAATAAATAATTTCTTTTCTTCAGTGATAAGCATATTTCAAATAATTGGACTTTGTGCCTCTGTAGAAGCTCAGGGGGTGAAACGATCCAATGAAGTGGCAATAGCCATGAGCTGAAAGGCGTCTCTTTGTAGGATTCATAATTTCCTCCAAAGCTCGAACAGACATCATCGTTCCCTTTTTTCTCAGTTAGCTGACAGCGAATCCATTAGGAAGATCCAACGAGCCAGTTCTCCCCCACCCTCCTCTCCCTCTCCCCAATCAGAACTGCGGGTATTTGTACCAATCGGTTCTTCCAAAGACAGAATCATATGTTACTACTCAACTTGAAGTATTTGAAATTTACTCATCTTGGATTATTTTCTAGCTTATTTAGCTCCAGAGTAAGAAAAAATTACGTGTTTCCTGAATCTATATGTTTGGAAGCCCTTGCAAAATTTCCCAGACCTCCCGCTAGGCCGGTGATCCTCTTTCCCAACCCCCTCTCCCAAACTCTTTATCCTTGTTGTCTCATTTAATATTTTCTGTTCTCAATTTTTTAATTTTTTTAAAGCCTCTTTCAAACACAACGAGTTTGAAAGCTATTCATTGCATACATGCAGACGCTTTTGATCCTCATCGCTGTCTACACTTTCCCGAGAGCCACTCGAACAATCCCAAAACGTGAGTCTCGAGTTGTTCTCGCGCGTTACCACGCAACATACATGTAGTGGGCTCTTTCTGTTCTTCCCACCTCGCGAGTAAACTTTTCAGCAGTCTATATTCTTTATTCCATTTTGTTTAGTGTCTTTGTTTTCAACTTCAGGAGCCTTGTGTTGTGTATTTTACAATCATTACAATCCCTAACAGAGGGTCTGAATGGGGTTAACCCTTTAACTCACAAGATCTCATTAGTAATTCTCCTTACTGTCTGCTATACTGTACTTGTGATGTTAGTTTGGAGGATTTGGTATTGGATCAACTTAAAATCCCCTAATTGACATTTTTCTTTATTCTCATCACTTGTCTGCTTGATATTGTACTGATATTGTAAGGAGAAATTCTATCTTGGTCACTCATGGGAGTTAAAGGGTTAACCAACTGGCGACTGAATACCGACAAAACGAAAAAAATATTACCGATTAGCGACAAGTAAATACTAACCGACAACCGACATAGTCTCACATGGTCCAACGTTATCGATATTTGTATTCAGAAAGAAGAGCATTCTAGCCTCGGAGATAGCCACTTTAAATTTAAGATTCGGTTAATTATGGAATTTCCAGTCATTAGACTTACTTTATGGCCGAGTAGGAGTGCAGGCTTATTTCAATAACAGCGCCCGGTTCTCGAGCCCTCAAATCACCCAAGGAAAATGAGTCATTAACTTGGATTTTTAATTATTAACCGAGATTTACCGACCACCGACAGCCGACAACCGACAACCGACAACCTCAAAGCTTCTTAGGTTTGCCACCATTTCCTTTCACTCTCATCGAAGGACAAATTATTTATTATTAAAGAGTTAGTCACAAGATTTTTCCTTACAGCATTGCTGCTGATCATGAATCAAACATTAGGTCATGAAAAGAACTGAAATGATCGCCAACTAAATAAACAAATCCTCCTTGTCAGCACCTCAGGAAATGTACAGAGAACAGCATAGAGACTATGTGCTTACCGATGTAAGGATGTAAATGTATTAAGACCCTGAGTATTTGTCTAGTCGAGGATTTGAATACTGACACACTCTTAAGAGAGTTGACCGCTCTCAAGTCGCTTCAATCAATATGAATCTATTTTCCCTGTCCCCTGATCAGCTTATGAAGCAAACAAAATAAGAGAAAATTAGCTAACGAGACTTTCTGCTCAAATGTACCAAGAACTTTTAATCAGTCTCACTGCTCAGGCGACTCACAGCCTAGGAAAAAAACCTGTCTACAACAACATCCGTTACGTAAATCGGCGCAGATTCATGCTCCTCTTGGGAAAAGTTACGGAATATGTGCTATGCCTTTTCACTCTATTTGACGGAGCATGCAATTTTGCAGCCGAGATATGACGTGTTAGTGCACACGTGGACTTATCCACCTTCCGTGGACTTTCGTGACGAACATATTTCGCAAGTGAAAGTAAACACAGTCTGACAAAAGCGACATCAAAATCCTTTTACGTTTGACCTGACTCCTATGTAAACAACGCTTATGATAAGTTTTTTAAAATGCGTGACGATCAGCGAACTCTTATGAGTAATCACAAGAATTAAGGAGTCTTAAAAAAAATGCAACCGATCATTGTTCTACATTCGAGTCTTGCACTGTATTTAGATGTTAATTCTTCGTGGCTTAAATAAACCTGGAATCTATCCTTTTATACGGGGGATAAAGTCATTCGAGGGCAAAGCGATGTAGACGAAAATGACGCCGCTATTTGCTTTGTTTTGCGACAGCAATAGCTGTAGTTTATTTAGGTGTGGAACAACTGATCATCTGTTGGCCTGTTTTAAGACAGTATGCAAATCAGCTCATGGTGAATGGAGGAATATGATAATGTCAACAAGCTAGTTGATTTAGTTTTAAAGAGCTGGGTGTTGATTGTTTTAAGACGTTACCATCGGGTGTTTAAATGGCGCCGCAGATCCAAACAATCTTCGTCCTCAGTGTCTAAGATATCTGAAACACCTGGTCCGTTACTTCCAAATCGTAAAAAAACTGCTCGCACGAAGCTAAAAATCATCCCAAATAATTTTGCTTCGACTAACTTCGACGATTTGAACTCCAAAGAACTAGCATGACTGTAAAGGTAACTGAGCTCAATTGGTATTCATTCATTAACTTTCTCAAAAGGAATAGAGTTTCAAGATTCTTATAGTGCTGTAGTAAGCTATTTCCTGCAATATTTTGCTAGTAACCTCGATCAGAGATCTGCATGAGTTACAATGCAACATTGTCAACATGTAAGGCGACCATCTCGTATTGAACCTTACAACTCCAAGCAGCAAACAATTTGATCAGTGTTGTGTTATAGTAAGAGCCCTTGAATGCTTTCGTGATCCTAAGAAGTTGAGTTATTTCATTTTCATCGATCAGTTATGTCGGTGCTATGATAGGAAAATCTTGGTATCGAAATTGTTCACATGTGTGAAGAGTGGAGCAAGAAGAAATATGTGCAACTGCGTACAGGCCTCGCCTAATTGAATTGGACTCAATAGAAACAGATCGATAGCCAACTAGAGTGAGTTTTGATAAGTCAAGTGAAGCAACTTTATCGAAAGTCAGCTATGATTCTTCCTCATCACCCTTGTCGAGATTCGGGTGCATTTTTAGCAAGCCAATAAGCTTACAAATTTCCAACTTTCTAAACACATTCGTTTGTAGCTAAAAACAATATGCATCCGTTTATTATATACATTTGATGGCTATATCTAAGGCTAAATTAATTACGAGTTATAAATGAAGTTGAGTCAACTTAACTTCACTTAACTTAACGCTGTACCTTATCTGACATGATTAACGAAAACAAATGGAACCTTTTAAGTACGGAAAAGAAAAATTGTCGAGATAAAATTTTATATTTCACCATAGAGTCAGCTGTACTGATTGCGTTCGACTTAAGCATCAACCAAAATTTTCTGATCACTATTCAACTGACTGTCTGAAGTGTAAAGTAAAAATTGTCAAGTCTTATTGCAGGTTTTTTTCTCTTTTATCATCAGTTTTTCAGTGTTTACACTATACTACGTTCTAAGTTTGCAAACTTTATTTCACAGAAAGAGCTTCTTCCGAATGTCACTAAGATTCGGGATTGAAAACCTGTTGTGTGTAATATACTTGAAGCGAGGTTACTTCTTGACTGAATCACCATAATCTGGGTTTGCTGAATCACTAACACGATAAATTATATAGCTTAACCAGAGACATCTAGAACCCCAGTTTTAAAAAAAGCAAGGATTTTGGAGGTGAGATGAGGTATATAAAGTGTTTGCTTTACTTCTCTCAAAGTCGCTTGAGAATATTATTTCAGCATTGACGTTTGAACTGACGTAAAGTGTAAAATTGTCAGTACCTCAGTTTATATAAGTTATTATTTGCCCGACACTTAAATGCCTGTAGCACAGGCTGCCCAAGCTCCAGCTGTGAGATGATCATCCAGCGAAATAACAGTCATGACGAAATTATAAGAGTTTGTATAGAAATATTTACGACCGCTCTTAGGAATAAATAATACAGTCAAATTCTCAATGAAAATACCTCATCCTGTTTTCACAATGCGTTGCTTGTTATCTGACCGCTTACTTTGTTGAAAACCCATTTTAGCGAGTTATCCATTTCTAGGTTTACTACATAAGAGAAGACTCTCAAACAAATTCTTATAACTTCGCCATGACTCTTAATTATTTCGCAAGATGATCATCTCAAAGCTGGTGCTTGGGCCGCCTGTGGTCATAGTAAATTTCATTATGCAAAAATGTAAGTTTACTTAAGAGCGAAAATTTCGGACGTCACCGCTAGATTACTCAGTGACGTGCACTCCAGCACCAAAAAGCTAGGCGAATCATCTGCAACATACAATAAGTATATGTAAACAAGCCTAGTCTGAGATCTCTACAGGCCCAAATAAAAAACAGCTGGAGTTGTCCATGTAAAATCTCATACTATTCATTACTGTTTTGTTTATAATATATTTGCCGCATGCATGGCGAACGTTAAGAAACACTGTTTAGAATTGGGACCTGGAGGTTACTGATCCTCTAGTGCTGCAACTTAATTTTGCTAAGTATGACGTCTTAATTCTCTAACAGGACGATCTAATCCTTTTATAGGAAGTGTCCCCGAAAATAAATTCGTTTTGCTGACGTCATAGAATGAGAAAAGCTGGCATCAGTTGAAGTAGACTGGCTGAAATAACTGCTGTGCAACACACAACGCTATTCGCTCGAAATTTTAAGAATAACGAAGATGTTAATGAGAATGAAGAGAGCAATCATCCTTCCAATGCTGGTTCTCTTTGGATCATGTCTCTACATCGGAACATTTCTTTATCTCATTGTCATTGAAGAGTCCCAAGGTATGCTATATCAACATCTTTACTTAGTTTTGCACTGCCCGTTCTCAGTGAGAATAATTCCTTGTATAGCCGCTTTCACCGTCTATGATCGAATCGCGTCAAAAACGAAAACGGCTTCTTTGCCATAAACCGCACTCATAATTTCCTCTTCGGCACAAGTGTTCCTTCGCCAGTGGAAAAGTATGAGGCAAAATCTTCGCGCGGATGGAGAAACGTGCGTCCTGCAATGCCTACGAATGGAGAGTTTTGGATCCACGCTCTTGGCCGTTAAGAAGTATGAGTCCAAACATGAGGCGGAGAAACAGACGTTCTGTAGCGCTACCAATGAGCGCGGACTAGCTTTGAAATGAATTCGAGATCAACTTCTAACACATAATAATAATAACAATCATCATCATCATCATAAATTGAAGATAATAATTGCAATAATAGTTATAATAATAGTAGCTTTGATACTATGACTATTAATGAATAAATTGATGTAAACGAGCTGCCACTGCCCCTAAATTCGTACCTAATCGCTCTGACGAAGGGCTAACGCTCGAAACGTCAGCTTTTTTACCCTTTACGGTGGCTAATTTACGTTTTCAACCCAGTTGTTAACACTAAATTACTCGCAACAAAAGATGAGAGGGACCTAGCCTCAGAGGCCAAGTGTATGTTTATCTACTCCTTGTTCATAGTACTGTTTACGTGTCGTGACTGCTAGTATAAGATTTATTGCAATAATTTACGTTTTTTAAATTGTCCTTGATTTATAGATATGGTTATGAACGAAAACAGAGGAAAAGAGTTTGATTTCTCTCCTTCGAACTTAAAAGAAGTTGGAATAAAGGCTATTGCTGACATTAAGTTAGCAGGGAATATTGCAAATCATAGAGAGCTGGTGACAAACGTGGACGGCCCTAATGATGTCGTCATTCCAGATCGAACCGCATCTCAGACGAGTAAAAAGCCAGAACAAGCAGGTCAACAGAAAAGAACACCCAGGAAATTACCTGCAAAGTTGATAGAAAGAAAGGCAAGCGTTCAAGTAAAAACCAAACTGCCTTCTGCAAGTAAACGTAAAGACCATAGGAACATAGAAGATTTATTACACTCTGTAAGCAATGACAAGTACTTTCCAGTCGATTCGATTTGCCCTTTTTTAGGATTAAAAATGGAACCGTATATTAAATTCAAAGACAGTTTCCACAAGAGTGGACATTGCCTCCAACGACAGCCATCCTTAGATGAGTGCCAGAAGGCAGTGAGAGATTATAAAATAGAGACTCTTCCTATTGCAAGATGCGAGGAACAAACTGAGAAAAACCTTTGCACGATTAGTGATAAATGGCGGTCAGATCGTAGTGTCAAAGTTAAGGTGCGCTGTGATGTTCGAAAATGCGGAGAGAATCCTATCTATGCTGTGAGCTTGAACCCTAAAACTGGGCAACTTGAAGACGAACATCATTGGCACAAATTTGTTTCCAAAGCAGATATCGAAGCCAATCTTCCATTCGTTGTTATTCAAATTTCCAAAAATGGCCTGAACTTTTGTTTTCTTCAATGTCTCAAAAACAATACCTCTCAGGTAATCAAAGCAGTTCTAAATTTTCCTCCTGTTCTTGTTCGATCAAACTCTAATCAACCCAAAGCGCATCCCCCAGCCTTGAACATTAACATGGTCGTTCTCAGTTCTACGTCTCGACCACATTTCTATCGATCATTACCCGAAACTGTCGCCACACTACGAAACATGGTTTATGACAAATCAGAAACAGCATCCGCCTTAGATTTCGAACTCCTTCAGAGCCTGACGTCAGATACGGCACAAAATCTTCAAGCTCTTCTCTCAGGGAAAACCGACAGAGAAGTCCGTGTCCAAGGATTGACTCTGTTTTCAACATTGAAAGAGCTAGGATATCAAAACATATTCCAAACTGATCAATGCTGGTTGAGGCATGACTATGAAAATATGGGAGAAAAAATTAAGATGGAATGGAGTCGCTGTGACCCTGGAATGACCCATGTAGCTTGCCAAGCGACTGACGAGCACAAAGTTAACAATAAACTCGAAGGAAATCACACGACAACGGCCTCATGTTTAAACGGCCATTACGTTTTCGACTACATCTTCGATTTCATAGATAAATTTCAGCTTGCGTTAAGAGTTACTAAGACAAAAACACCTTTCTTTTCTCACACTTATCTAACCTTGACGAAAGACGAATTAGGAGTCAGAATAAGGCAACTGGACAAGCAACTGTCGATGTTTCTACAGACCATGGCGCGTGAAGAAAATGCTGTGACTATTGTAACATCGGACCACGGCCCAACAGCAACTAAGTACTCAATGGATTCGATTGGAGGAAGATATGAAATGTATAATCCCCTTCTTTTCATTATTATACCCAAGCAATTATCTCTGAGACTTGGAAAACAGCAAATGGAAGCCTTGATTAAGAATCAACATCGGCTACTATCTCACATCGATCTTCACGATACTCTTATTTCGATCGGTAAACTCGGAGGCAATCAGCGTGGGTATAGTAAAGGACTTTTAGCAGAAATAGCCATCAATCGAACATGCGCAGATCTTGGTATCAGTGAAGAGGCCTTGTGCAAGTGTCGCGGTTGGGAAGAATGGTTCCCGAAGGATGACCCAAGATTCACTTGGATCGCCGAGTTTGCCCTTGGGGAGCTCAACAACATACTTCAAGATGTGATACAAAATTTCTCGTTGTTAACTGAGGGACATGTCAAATGCCAGAGACTCATTGGTTACGCCATTGAAAAGATTCACCAAGGAAAAGACAAACGTTTTCTTTCACTGGATTTAGTTACACATCCTGGAAGGCAGTTATTTGAAACCAAACTTTACCTACCAATGAACTTTTCTTTAGAAGCCGGCAACGCAAACTATCTGTTCCAAGGAAGTAGACAGTTGATAAAAGTACTTAGCTTTCGAAAAGGAGATCACCATCTAGACCTTACAGCTACTGCAAAGAGCGGACCAGCGATTAATCTATGTCTGCAAGATTTTCACCGATCGAGCAGCAAGATGCGAACGAAAAGAAATTCTAGAGGAGCAGGTACAAAGTATGACGGAAACATTTTGCGAACGGCACATTATTCCAAACACTTTGGAGCTAGTCCACGAATTCGAGTACTTGAAGGCGGGAGAAATGTCTCTTTCTCGTCACGAGAACGCATTTTAATCAAACGGTGGCGTTAGAAGTCTTGAACAGCTGTGTTGACAGGACTTTTGTGGTTAAAGTTGATATATCGAATCAAAAGGAACATGTGCATCTGACGAAAAAGCTTCCAATGCTAGTTCAACTAGCTCCAGGGACTTTTCGTTTTTTATTCAGTGCTTATATAACGGAAAGGGCCATGATTCTCAAGCCAAAAATTGCCTTTAAAGTTGTCAAGGTCAATGTTTAAGGCGAGTAACTGTCTAGTAATCTGGAATAGAAAGTGGTTTCTTTTCCACAGAAATAGTTTTGGTTTTAACTATTTAGTCACTCTGACTAAATTTTACTGGAAAAGGGGATAATTTTCCAAAGAAACTGCGGTGCTGCGTTGATCGGTGTTACAACCAGATAATTTGCTTTTATCTACGGAGTTAATAATGTTAACTAGCCATCGCATAAGGCTTCTAAAGCTGAGGCTTCGAACATTAGCCCTTAATAATAGCGACCAATGGCTAGCGCTTGAAATATCAGCATTATAGACTCTGCAGTGGCCAATTTACATTATCAACTCCGTTGATGGGACCAAATTATTGATGTACTCCCTATGCCTTCCTCGCCTACTTCTGGTTTGGTTTTTCGTTTCCGTCACCTTGATGAAGTAAATGGTTCGGCCCTTTGTTTCTGATAATGACTTCAACTCAGCTTATCCAAACGTCAGTCTTGGCACTGAGCTAATACCGACAACAGTCCCTTTCAGGACTATACATCACTGGAAAATTTGACTTCTCGATCATTTGCCTAGATCGCTGCTTAGTGTAACCGCCAGAAAGTGACTGGCGTTTGAATTTGGGTGGCCAAAAACTTTTATTAATTGAAATCAGTACCTAGAAAAAATAACAAAAGTTCTCAGTCGTTTGCGTCATCAAATGCGCATTTTACCTGACTTATGTGCAAGTGCATGGTCGATTTCCAGCCCGTAGTGCTTTTCGGCACCCCATTAAAAAGGGAAGGGGGGTTGTTGATCCGTTTCACCTTAATTATGATAAGCATCGAAAAGTTGTTGTTCGGATCGACTTACGTGAAGTGGCCTTTTATTTTCACAAGCATCGTTGAAAAGAAATGAACTTGAGAGACTGCTTTGGGAGGTAGTCTGGTTTTATTTTCACGAGGTCTAAATCTCAGATACCCAGCAAGAAAGCACTGGAATAAGAGATATTTCTCACCTTTAAACCAAATAGGACTACTAAACGAATGTGACACAAAATTACTAAAATTATCGTTGAGTAAATTGTTCCAACAGTAAAGTAGCATTAAATTATCTCTATTTACATAACCAATGAATTATAAATATCAAGAAATTGTGGATCCTTTCACTAAGTTAGAAACAAGATAAAGAATTGGAATGGTACCTGCCTTAAACCTGTTATCTCAATTGTTAAAAAAACGAACCCTGCACACGGATTTGGCGGGTAATAAAAATTAGGAAAACACAAAAATTTCTTTTTCGAAAATTGAAAAGATACAACATCAGCTTGATTTAAGCTTCGTGTGAGGCAACAAAAACCTAACGTTAAAAACGTTCGGCTTAAGTAATGAAGCGCACTACATTACTGGTTTCTTAAATGTTTCCATAGAGAAAACTTCAATTTTACTGGAGTATTAGTGCTTTGATAACGATTCTGGCGTGAGCGAGCGAGGTTGCACGGGATGTCTGTTCTTGTTCTACGAAGCAGAAAGGTATGTCTTACTTTAGTAGCTGATTGCAAATTTAGATTTTGATTGAGTGATAGCAAACAATATTAAAGCGTTTTCTCTGCTGGAATAGCTTGACCGACACATGTATTGCACCAGAAACTGGAAAGGCGCACTGAAGAATTTCATGACATAATTCTGTTAATTTCAAAAGAAATTTAACTTTGATTCGAAGACACTGAATTTTAGAGAGAAACGTTATAAGTGTTTGATCGTTTCGACAAACATATTATACAATGACGGAAGGAATATTCCAGCAAAAGGTGACAATTTTCAGAGCTCTCTGTTTACGAGAGCGAAGGCGACCTTTATGTTTTTGTAGTCATGGATTTATTGCCATGGTACTTCTACGTCGTTTGAATATTCAGAAAAACAGCTGCACAAATGTTAACTAAGCGTTTGCTAATTTTTTTACAAAGAAATAAATTGTTTAAATTTTGGGCTTTATTTGAATAATTCTACATTCTCTTTGACATTCCTTATCATGGAACAATGATTATATGTAACAAACACCAGTCCATTTTAGTGATGGTTATTATTAGAACATCAGATATAACGCCTTTCTTTGACTGTCACGAGACGTAAGGCACTTTCCTATCATGTTATCAAAACTGAAGCATTCTTTCCACACCATCGTGCCAATCACTCTCGTTTTCCCTAACCCTAGTGTTCAGACGATCAGAACAATTGTATATAAACCAGCAAATGATCACAGACGACTGTGTACGATCGGAACGACCACGATCGCGTCGACCCTGATCGGGACGACTACGATGGGGTCGACCGCGATCCGTTCGACTACGATCGGGGCGATCACGATGACAATGACCACGATCGCGACAACGACGATTGCGACAGCTACGATAGGAACGAACTCGATCAGAAAGACTGCGATTGCAACCATCACTTTCACAACGACGACATGTATGTCCCAAAAACCGAAAAAAGCTGCCTTCAACATCGCATGGCTTAAGTAGATTTCGACATCATACGATATCATCTTAAGGAGTGTGAACAGCATAAACAAACTAAAAGATTTGGCCTGGCAGAAGTTTACAATTTCGTAGCTTAAACTGGACAACGAAATACTGAAATCATACATTTTGCTTTAATTTCCTAAGCAAGTGATCTTTCGAATCCAACGAACACGTTTGCTCATACTTAGAAATCGTTCCTCAGTTGGAAACTAGTTTGACAGAATGTGTGATGCTTGATTCAAATTAAAAAATTGCTTCCCCTTTGACAAATATTTTAAGCCTCCTGATTGATCGAGTACTCCCTGACCGTTTGACTTAAAATCAAAACTATAATAAAATTCTCGACTGGCCATCACCACCCCGACTTGAGCACTAATAGAACAGTGTACGCGTCATGCTTGTAATTGGACAGTGTAATAGGATAGTTGAAACGTCATGCCCGTGTAAATGGACGGTACGCGTCATGTGTGTTGTCGTGCATTTCGCTGAATTAACTGGTTTTTTTATGAAAAAGTATAAGCGATGTCTAGTTTATTTCTCAAATTTTTCATAGTTTTTATTAGCTGGTAACGGGACTTCGAATCGTCCAATTCTGTCTGAAATCATACTCGTGATTAGTAGATCTGACTCCCACTTCTCGGTCGTCCGATTTGGATAATCACTCGTAAGATAACGGACCGAATTGGACTTCACTTGGTCCTATTACCATTAGTAATCAAGCTGATTGACCAGCTGACCTCGTGGGACCGCCTGACGGAATTTAGAGTCAGACCGCATCTTTAATGCCCGGTTTAAATTACCTCAACGGTTTGGTCCACCTGGCCGCATGACAATCTACAAACCAATCAACTGACAGACGGACCACCAGACAGATGGACCTGGACTGATAAAACAGATGGATAAATCCAAATTCAGATTCCAATACCTGTTGTGATGAGACATACAGACAGACAATGACATATAAGTTTAACAGGCAGCATAGATGGAATACGGATGCGGGATCGAACGGACGGAAAGAAATGTAAAAGGGAGTAAGCTTCTGAAGCAGCTGTGGTGCTGCGTCGATGGGAGAGTATAACAGGGTAATTTAGTTTTACCAACTGAGTTGATAGCGTAAATTGGCCACCGTAAAGAGTTTAACTTAAAAGCTGACGTTTCGAGCATTAGCCCTTCGTCTAGGCGATTGTTTCAAATGTTTCGCTCTGACAAAGGGCCATTGTTCGAAACGTCAGCTTTTAAACTCTTTACGGTGGCCAATTTACGTTATCAACTCAGTTGTTAATACTAAATTACCGGAAAGACAAATAGACAGACTAAACCGATAAGAGAGATATTTTACAACCAGTCCATTAATCAGTGGTGAGTTGGTGAGGTAGCTGAATAAGCAATTCAGCTCTTTTATTACGTAAGTCTTAGCCCTAGTCCTAGTCTTAGTCGATAGCCCAAGTCTGTGGATTCCATTTTGACAAATTTCTCTTTCCCAACAGGCTTTCTTTCTGCTTGTAGCTGCCGCGGCCCTTGGACTTTACTTTTGGACTACAAGAACGCAAATGAGGCATTTTGCTTTGTTTGCAGCAGACATTGACAGTACCATTATAAAAGGTAATTCATATAAAATTCAGAATAAACATGACTTCTTAGCGCCTCGTTCAGAATCAAGCATAACTATAAATGGAAACAACTATAAAAATGCATGAATAAACAAGATCGCAAGAATTTCACTCAACAAAACGATCATTTTCAGAAAATAACCACGTATGATAAATTTAAACTAACTCTTGATGTATAAATTTAGTTGTCCACTGAGAAATATATGTTTTCTTCGACAAAAGGTGCATCTGCAGATGACACGACATTTTCTTCTAAGTTACCACTATCAACCACTGCTCCCAAGCTTAAAAGTGTCACTACGAGCCCTGAAAATTGGTGGGATGAAGTGGAGGGAGAAAGCATAACTGAAAGCGCTAAGAACACTGTGATGCAGGGACCTACTGGGAATATTTCTGAGGATATGTCACATGAGATGGACAATGAAACTAACAGTTTCGATCAGCTTTGGGATTCTGCGTCTGAAAGCGAGCCACTTCCCAGAAAGAACACCGAGAAATCTTTACCTCCTTTCACCGATGTTCTGAAGGAATCTTTGAGGGAAATGTCTCCATCTTCTAACATCGGGAATGCCAGTAATAAACATGATGTGCCTAGCAAGTCGCAAACGATAGATGGCCGCAATCGTGTGGTTAGCGAAAGAGCTAACGTCTTTGAGACATTGTTTGAAGAAGACCGGGAAGATCCAGGGGAGTTTCCGATAGGGACGGCTTGTCCATATATGGGTATGAGAAAATTTAAAAGCACGAAACAGCAGATGAAACAGAAAGAGAACGTATCATGCGTTGCACACGTATCGACGGATGAGGACTGTCAAATGGCAAATAAAGAATATAGAAATCACCAAAAAATTCCTCAGTGCAATGAAGGGCCTGGGAAAGATATTTGCTCAATTGAAGAAACATGGCGAGCAAGTCCCGAAAGTAAGCTAACAATTCAATGTGACCTATCAATTTGCAAGGGACATCCCGTGAGCGTCACGGGAATTCACCCGTTGGAGGGCGTGGTGGACAAAGAGAAAGAGGGATATACGTTTAACAATTCCACGGCTCTTGAAAGATTTCTCGGACACTTTGTAATCGTGAACACGTTACGCAAATTTAGCTTCTGCTTTCTTCGGTGCAAAACAGGGCGTAAGAAATACGCCCAGCAAATCCTGATGTTTCCTCCGTTATTAGATATAGAGGACTCAGAATTTCTACCAAATAAGAAAGACCCCAGTCTAATAAACATCAACATCGTAATGCTGGATTCAGTATCGCGCGCACATTTTTATCGTTCGCTGCCTAAAACAGTCAGCACGCTACGAAACGTTGTTTACAATAAGTCAATAAACGCAACGGTGCTAGACTTCGAGTTATTGCAAAGTTCAGCGCCGTTCACCTTTCACAATATCAGAGCCTTTATGTCTGGGAAAAGCGATTTCGACTACATTGAGCATTCAAATGGCACATACCAAATAGAGGTGCTGTATAAGAAGATGAAGAACCAAGGTTATTACACTCTCTTGCAAGAGGATAGCTGCTGGTTTGACGAGTGGGGATCCTTATTCACCAACAATATATTTCAAAACAAGACACCTCACAGTCGAAAGGAATTCCAAAATCGCTGGAGCGGATTTCAGGATGTGGTAAACGATTATCATGTGGATGACTACGGCCTTTCGTATTCATCATGTGACGTTTTCAAACAGTACAATGTAACTAACCAATTTAATCGGCCGCTCAAAATTTGCTTCGGGGGTAAAGTGTATTCTGAGCTTTTCTTGGATTATTCTCTAAGTGTCTTTCAAGGATATATTGATTCCGGTAAAAGACAACCAATATTTGCCTATACACATCTGAATGCCGGACATGAAGTAACTGGAACCCGCATAAGACAAATTGATTACGCTGTATCAGGGTATTTACACGCTATAGCGCACGAAGAAGACACTCTAACACTTATTTTCTCCGATCACGGACCAAAAACCACGAAGTTCTCGTTCCAAACAATGGAGGGGCGAGGAGAGATTTACGATTCGTTGCTATTTGCTATAGTTCCAGAAAACGTGGCTAATATCCTGGGATTACGACGCATGCGTGCGATGATCACAAACCAGAAGCGTCTTCTAACAACTTTGGATCTTCACAACACAGTGATGTCGATCGGAGATTCTGAAAGGTCGACTTCCGATTCTTATTTGAAGGAAGGTCTCTTCTCAGAAATACCAGCCAATCGTACATGCGCTGATCTATCGATCAAACCTTCAGCTGTTTGCAAGTGCGAGGGCTGGGACCAAAAGTTTCCTGATAATGACCCTCAATTTATATTCCTCGCCGAATTTGGTTTGGGACTACTTAACAATAAAATTCAGGATGATTATCTCACAACTTCCGATGCTGCCGGGGGGTTTGGAAAATGCCAACGTTTAGTTGGACATCGTTTTGAAAAAATACGCAGGAGGAAGGTTGGTGAAGAGTATTTTTTGACTATGGATCTAATTGTACTACCAGGGAAGGAGATATTTGAAATTCAATTGAGATACCCTTTAGGAGTCTTAGCAGAAAGGCGGAAGACTTTTCCCGCTGTAATGGGAAAGCGGAGAGTGAGTATATATCGCAAATACGAGAAATGCGTCGATGAACATGTAAAGGTGCAATTATGTGTTTGCGATTCGCATCACTATGGAAGAAACATAAGCAATAATAATGCGTGGAAATGGTTCGAGGTTAGAACCGGATCAGACGTATTGGAAACCGTGTTTAGAGCAAATAGTTTTGGTACAAACTCTGAAGTCAAAGACTTAAGTGAGTCGTGCTTGTTATTAGTAACACGGAAACGTAAAAACCTTAGCGTAGCCTTCGAAGTAGCGAACGCTTGTAAGAGGCGAAGGTACAAAGTCAGAATTACAGGGAGAGGAAACGGAAAAACCTTATTAACAAGAAAACTGCCTTTTTCTATCATGCTGGAACCAAACACAGTGCACTTTGCACTGAGCGTTCATTACGTGGAAAAACCTTATGGTTTTTACCTAAAGACATCATTTGTGGGTTATAATGTTTGACATTAGTCCGTCAGCTTATAGACCAGAAACATTAATTTAAACTTAATTCGAAAACACATTTATTTGATAAATCAGCAAAATGAAACTTTTTAAATGTTATTACCTTTGCCTAATGTTTTAAGTGTACTGTAAATAGAGCCAAAGGGACTGTAAATATATTTTATCTGTGTGATTCAAATCGATTGCTTTTTCACCTTCTTCCTTTAGCTTAAACCATTTGAGTTTCATTTTATTTTTAAATTGCGTCGCTTAATTGGCTTTGTTCCTGTTATTCCTCCCGTCATATCCGTTAGTATCGGATTACCAGCTGATGAATCCGAGAGAAGTCTCCGAATCTTTTAGATAATGTGGCCAAAAGTTTGCTATCAAAGGGAACTTTTATTTTAGAGAATGACAAAAATCGACCTCTAGATATAAAGATGATCCCCCTAATTATTTGTCGTATAGCAGGTTGTTTCTTTCATTCCGCGGGCTGCTCAAGAGACATTACCACGTGACTTTGCAGGTACAACCTGTTGCTTTAAGTGATCAATCGATAGAGTAACACTGATGTGAAAAACGCTCAATCAGTTATCTAAGGTGAGCGCCGGCTTCAATTTGCATGTAATGTCTTGGAGAAGAGAGCCTAAGAATGAAGCAGCTATTAGCAATCGAGTGAGATGACAATACAAGAGCCTTGTGGGGCCCGAAAAATATTACTCAGTACATCTGTGACCGCCAGACAGACAGAAAAGAATGAGGCTTCAATCGATAGCAAGCTTGCTAGTTCTCCGCAACAAGAAGGTCAGAAGATTATCCTTAATAAGGCGTCTTTTATCTAAGCTTTTTAACGCAAAAGGAAAAGCTTTTAAGGGAATTTTTTCCAAGAAATTGAAGGATAATTTCAAATTGTCTCGATGACAAAATGTCGTTCAGGTTGGTTGAAAAGTTACACTTCGCGATGCATAAAATCAAGTAGTTTTCAAATTGTTTTCAAAATATTATAGAGAGGATTTACGACTAAAACAGACTCCAAAACACACACACACAGATGTCTCAGCAATAAGCCCATATCAAGCCAATTTACTGTACATAGACACAGTCAGTGACATATCTAACAGAGCGTTTTGAGCACCTTGTTTACTTGCTTTAATCTTTAAAACGCTCCATGGTGTTTTATTGTTCGTAGCAAATTCGTTTGGTTTCAGTATTTTGCTATCAATTGAGTGGAAACAAAACATTTACCTCACTTCACTTTTCAGAATCATCGACCCGTAACTGACCTACACAATCAAAATATCGCCAATATGACAGTCGACAACGTGAAAAAAAATCCGAGTCAAAATATGGGAAAACTTGTCGGTAGAAAGGTGTAATTTTACCCGAAAAAATATAGATATGAAAAAGGAAATTGGGTGTCCAATGCTGCATTCTGAGAGATGTGGTTCAAATTGTTCCAAAACCATTTTGATGGCTTCTGCAATCTGCCCTAAAGTATCAAAAAGAGCAATTAGTACTCGTAGGAATCAATAAACTAGCATTTGGCTAGCGGTAGAAAATTATTCTTATCAAGAGAGATTTTGGGTTTTAATTGTCTTCTTTTTATCAAGGCGTTTTTTGTCATTGTGGTCGTTGTTGCAACAGTCGTTTATCTTGGCACTGTGAGGGATTTCTTCCGAATGGAACAGTACACAGCAGTAACTCCTAAAGAAGACATGCAGATACAGGGTAAGTCAGATAAAGAAGATGAGAAAGAACATTAGCGCAACGCTCATGAGTTTAAGCCTCTGTATGAAGCATTTCCTCGGTCAAAGGTGTTGCTTAGCTGAAATTTAAAAAATAACTTTTGCTAACTGTGGGAAAGCCTCGATACTTCACTCTCAACACTATAAGTGCTTTTGTACAAAAAGTGCTCAGTTTAAGAACAAAATATAAAGGAAATTTCGAGCTCATATCGTCAAAAAAATCAACACCAAAATTTTGCAATGATGGCATAAAAGAAAAGTAAAGGGGGGGGCCTCCTGGCTCGTGCGCTGATTTTACTGTCACATTCAATTCCCATTATTTGTATTTACAGGGGAAAATCTCTTTTTGGATCGCATTATGAGCCAGCGGCGTGAAGACGAGACCTTTTTCGGGGATGTAACAACCAGACGAAATTCGATAGCTGGCATTTCTGATGTACTGCACATCGAAACACCAGGAGAAGAAGTATTTCATGCCATGAAAACGGGCAAAATTAGAATGCCTCAGGGAAGGAGAAACAAAAATATCACGCTATTACCAAGTGATGATAATGATGATGATGATGATGATGATGATGATGATGATGATGATGATGATGATGAAGGTGGCGACAGCAATGCTAATGATGACGAAGATGATAATGACCATGTTAACAAACTGGATCACATTGAGGAGACCCATGATGACAATGATGATGATGATGATGATGAACATCACAGTGATCATGACCATAATCAGAAGGATCGTAATCGAAAGGAAGGTGACGACGATGACGACAATGATATGGACCATGACGACAAACTGGATCACTATGAGAACATCGATGACCACAATGATGATGATGATGATGAACGTCATAGTGATAATATCCATAAAAATAAGGATCGCAATGGAAAGGGAGGTGACGACGATGACGACAATGATAGTGACCATGACAACAAACTGAATAATTATCAGAAGACTGATGATCACAATGATGATGATGATGAGCGTCATAGTGATGATGACCATAATAAGGAGGATGGCAAAGATAAGGAAGGTGACACTTGGAATGATTTGTCCATCAGTAGCCGCCATAAAGGATCATTTCCATTATCAAAAGAGAGAATGACGGATACCCCAGGTAATTCTAAGCACGACTTGGTCAATTCTATACAGCCCACATCACAAAAAGAGAAGGATGCAAGATTTTCTCCTTCGACAATCGCAATTTTAAAGGGTTTGTCATCGAAAGTTATTCTTAAAGAGAGTCAGCAACCTTTAATCCCAAAAGAGCTGAACAGTGTTGTCAGTGAAAAAAACTTACTTTTTCAAAAATCAAAAAAGATGTTAAATCTAAGTGATTCTGATAATTTCAGTCAACCGCCAGTTAATCTGTTGGTATCTCAAGGCTTCAGGAATAACGGAAACCGGAGATCCTCTACATTTCATTTAAACAAACCAATTCCACCACCTATTGGATTTTCACCGGCTCCCAGCCTTTCGATAACAAAATCACCATCGCTATTTTTTAATGACAAATCGGTTACACCTAAACATTACAATAGAACATCAGTTTGTCCACTTCTGCAAGTACGAAAACTTAGAATGTTGCCTGAGAATGTCCACTGTGTTCCACGAAACCGTAACCGTTCCTTTCAGAGTTGTTTGAAGGCATTTCAAGACTATGATCTTGGAGGCAAACCTCTAACCTGCGGAAACAGTCCACCAGAGGAGCCGATGTGTTTGATCAATATTATCAGGCAATTTCCGAACTTAAGGATACCAGTTGTTGCGTGTAATACATCATTGTGCGGAACAAATCCTGTGTACGTCCTAGAGTACAGTCCTATTTATGGAATCCTCGAGGAACGCCATCTGTGGAAACGCTTTTTCACTTCACGGGGGCTTGAAAAGTACCTCGAGAGATACATAAACACAAATTACACCCTCAACTTTAATTTTTGCCTTCTCCTTTGTGTCCGCGAAGGTAGGACAGGTTTCATCGAACAGTTGATGACATTTCCCATAGCGCAAAAAACTACTAGTAGTAGAGTAAGCGATGAGGCGAAGTTCAACCTTAACATTTTGGTGCTTGATTCTGTGTCACGGCCGCATTTCTACCGAACACTTCCAAAAACGGTCACGTCCTTGAGAGAAATAGATCATTTAGAATCGTACAACGCTACTGTAATGGATTTTGAGTTACTACATAGCTTAGCTTCGTATACTTTCCCCAATATCAGGGCTTTAATGTCTGGTAGGATAGACTTGAGTGCTTTTGGAAGGCATGAAAATGAGACTTATGGTATAGAGGTTCTATTTGGAAAATTCAAACAGCTTGGTTATTACACATTGCTTCAAGAAGACAGCTGTTGGTATGATTCGTGGGGTTCGCTGTTTACAGACAATGTATATCAGGGTAACATGCCACGATACAAACACGAGTTTGCCAACCGTTGGAAAAGGTTTCTTGAAAAGGTCAAGAATTACAATGTAGACGATTTTGGTTTATCACATGCTTCCTGTGAAATTTTCAAGCGCCATAAAACAACCAATCAATTTAACCATCCGAAGAAAGTGTGCTTCGATGGAAAACCTTTCGCGGAATACTTTCTTGATTATAACGAGAAGATTTACAACAATGTGCTAAAGATAGGGAAAAAAACCAGACTTCTATCATACACACATCTTAACACAGGACACGAAATAACTGGATCTCGCATACGACAAATCGACAAAAGACTTTCACAATACATTAAAAACATGGCTAAAATGGAAGATACGTTGACTATTGTGCTTTCAGATCACGGTCCAAAAACAACTAAATATTCATTTCACACAAGGGAAGGAAGAACCGAAAAATACGATCCATTATTTTTTATTGTAATTCCAGACAAAGTGGCAGCAATCCTAGGTCGACGAACACTCCACGCCCTAGAGCAGAATCAAAACCGTATCATCAATACTCTGGATATTCACAATGGGCTTATGTCTTTAGGGAAAGCAACAAACTCGTCTAGTATAAAAGACAAAGGCATATTTGATTTAATTCCTGCTAATCGCACGTGCGCAGATTTACCGAGGAAACCTCTGGCGGTTTGCAAGTGCCAAGGCTGGGAAACAAATTTTCCAGATAACGATAAACGATTTACCTGGCTAGCAGAATTTGCCCTTGGAACTATAAACAACCAAATTCAAGAGCAGTTTCTGAGGGGCGACAAGCAGGCTGGAGGTTATGGAAATTGCCAACGCTTGGTTGGAGAGAGCTTTACCAAGATTCGGCGTCGCTCCCAGGGAAAACATTACGTCACAACCATGGATATTATCGTAACACCGGGACAGGAGATTTTCGAGGTGCAAATCAAATATCCTCGGGTGTTAAAGAACCAAAACTCCTTTGCAAAACTTACAGTTCACGAGCGTGTCACTATTTACAGACATTTTCGAAAATGCGTGGACACCACAGTTAGTTTAGGATTGTGTGTTTGTGATAATAAAAAACATCCTAAGCAACAAACAAAGCAAAGATGGATAAAGATTAAAAACAGAGAGGATGTATTGAACATCATTTCACGATCCAACAGCTTTGGATCACAAACTAGGATAAAAGATATCCATCAAAGCTGTCTTCTTCTTTTTTATAGGAACCGTAGGAGAAGGAGCACTAGTTTTGAAATTTCAAATACTTGCAACGACAGAACGTACAAAGTCACTATTTCTTTAATAGAAGTTGATACCAATAGAGTTTTCGTTTCGCGAAAAGTACCATTTTCCATTTTTTTGCCTCAAAGGACAATTCACTTTCTTTTAGCAATTAGACGTTTAGGGAATACATCCCATAATTTTAGGCTGAGAGTAAAGCATGCAGTGCAATTTTCAAGGAATAGATAGGGTGTGTACTTTTTTTAATTCGCGTCTTTGCGTGCCAGATCATACACGTGACTGTGTGTTTTTGTTTTGTTTCATCTCTCATTTGCTGTTCCTGATGGATGCTTTTTTAACAAGGGATATGAATGATATTGATTTATTTGACCTGTGCTAGATAGTGGATTACAAAAAATGATAGTCTAGTATGAGAGGATGTGTTTCTGGATTGGTTGATTAGCGTAACAGATATTTTTTATATCTCCAATCTTCAAAGAAACTGAAAAATTTTTGTGGTAAAAAATTTGTTGCAACTGACGTTTTGAGAAAAGATTCCTTTTTTTGCAATGGCAAAGCATTTGCTAACTGTTGGGTCAATAAATACAAATTTATTAATATCTAGTTTGGTATATTGACTATCAAAGTAAGAAGGGGAGTTTTCTATCTGTACTATCCAACGAGCGTAGTGAAGGTGTCTAGTTTGGTACATTGACTATCAAAGTAAGTTGAGGAGTTTGCTATCTGTATTGTTCAACGAACGTAGTGAAGGTGTCTAGTTTGGTACATTGACTATCAAAGTAAGTTGAGGAGTTTGCTATCTGTATTGTTCAACGAACGTAGTGAAGGTGTCTAACGTGACATAGGCCTGCGGCGTTTGAGTGCTGAAAAGACTTAGCGACAAAATGGCCTTTAAAAAAACGAAGTGGGATGCATTACATACTGGTCACGATCACTTTTTCTCCTATTTGCTCAGTCTAAATGTGGTTGGTTTTTTTAAGAATACAAGGAAACTATGTGTACGTGTTTATCAGCCTAGGTTTGAAGGACGGCAATGTTATCCCTTAAACCCACGTTACATGCCTCAAACATCGCTTATCATTAGGGAGTTTGTGATGTCACTACGGCGACGTCTGGTAAAACGTTGCTGAAAAACGTAACATACTTTCCCCTAAGACTTTCACCGGTTAAAACGTTCCTGAAAAAACGTAATTTGCTTTCCTCTAAGACTTACGCCAATAGCTCGTGACGCTGACGGCACGACATCTTCACTTCGGTATAACATATAAATGTAGTGTTAAAAAGCACGTGTTTCGCTATTGTTCTGCTAAATAGATCTTTTGTTTTGCGACGTTCTCGTTGCTGTCGCCCACGTGGTTTCCTCGTGGTGAGCAACCACCAAAAGCATAAAGGAGTTCCTTTGCTTCTAATATGTTTTCTGTCCGTCTCTGAAGTGTCTTATTGCACAACTTGACATGTGTCATATCGATAAGAAAGTACACTTCCCTGGAATGTCACCTTTAAGGGAGATCGTCTCTATTTTGACCCTTTAAGTGACTTTTTTTGTGCGTGCGGTCTAAAACCAATAATAGCTGATTCGGAGCCTCCAAATTAAATACGAGGGCAACTCTGCCACTTGCTTTGCATCACAGGTGAGGTGTCAGTCAACTTGTTTGTCCGAGGAGGATTTCTCACATGATTTTTGCGCGTCCTTTAAGGGGAAAAGGGAATTAGATCGAAAGATAGAAATTCCAAACTTTATTAGAATTCCTCGATATAAAAGTAATCAGATCTTAAGGCGAACCGAGGTTACTGTAGGTCATTCAATATAGCAGCTTAAGTGGACTCTAACCTAACACTTGGAAGGCAGTTGTGATATCCTATCCAATGCGCTAGATTAAAAGGCGTGAGTCAGGAATCACGGCCGGTATGTCACGCTATAACACATGCCGTTGAACCTTTGTAATTATAAATAACTCTCCGCGTGATTCCGTGAGGCAAAAGAAAATTTGAATTTCAGAATTCATTAAGCTGATTAGATTTGCCAATCACCTGCTTATTTTTTGACGGTAACGAAATAATTTCGGCTATGCTGCTGTGCATGCGCACGCTCAGAAGGACCTCAAGTTCCACTCCTCTCTTTTCGTTCTACTTTCCGCATCGCCTCGCAGCAGACCGTTGATCGTTATCGCGGTTTCACCACGGTGTATTTCAGTCACTGTAAAGTGATTATTCGTGAAAGTGGAAATTTCGTTCTCTTTTGGTACGCAACCATGAAAGCGTTTGTTTACTTCGCGATCTGCTGCCTCTCGATAAATGCAGTTGGTAAGTACTAAATTGCATTGAATATAGCACTGCTCGGTTAAACGCCTTAAGCTCGTTGAGAGCCGAGGAGTAATTTGTTATTCTTTGAGAAACTCAACCGCCCGTAAAAAAATATTCAAGTCACTTAGTAATTGTCTTGACTTTGTCAGACTAAACAGCAACCGGCTAATTTTATACACGATAATGAATTCATGAATCTAAATTAAGTTCCACAGTTTTCCTTATTTATGAAAATAGGGACTTGTTTTGTAAGCCTCATTCAGATTATTGTGAAATGCTCGGAGTTATGTCTTTCTAACATACATCAAGTTGTTCAATCGTTTTCAATTTCGTGTTGTTTCAACATTTTAGAAGATATTTAAGGCAAAGTAAACTCCGTTAAGAGCCTGAATTGTTGATTGATACTGTTTCACAGAACGTAGAGCGTTAACATAGAGTCGTGTGCAGAGAAAGGCGCCGTCAATAGCGTCCCTCTCTTTTGTTTGCTTGAGTTTTGCGTTTGTTCATTTGCAGTCGCTTATTTACGAATGTTGTTTCCTTGGTGTCTGTTTTTCCTTCGACAGACGCCGGGCCCACACAGTGTCACTCATGCATTGAAGCTGACGAAGCCTCTTGCTCTGCAAACCAGGAAAACCAAACCTGTGCCTCAGATCCACTCTCTCTGGGAACCACTCACTGTGCTTCCGTAGCAATCTCTTATTATGGGAACGAGACTGACATCCTAAATGATAAACTACATGACGGCTTCATACGAGGATGCATTGATTGCGGAGGTAAATTGATCTCAGCTTAATCTCCTCTGACAGGCACTTTTAAATCACTAGAAACTCATATTTTTCATTTTTCTTTCATTACGAGAACCCACTGTTCCTTAGCGTCCTGTACCGCGAACAGATCAGACATAAGAAATTTCGGGATAATGCTTTAGCTCTCGTTAATTCAGAGACTGGGGTTAATTGTAAATATAAAGTTAACATTTGAACAGTGTTAGCTTTTGCCAAATGGTTTCTAAGTGATTCGTTGGCCAATCCCGCTAAAGAGGATAGTAGTAATTAATTTTTCTTTCTTTCTTTTTTGTTTGTTTGAAGTGCTAAAGTAGTCTTATTTCTTCACAATATAAAAATTACATGTCTGATGTTATAAAGTGAAACGTTAAAAAAGTAATAAAAACGTAGACGATAGTAAAAGAAAGAGTAAAAACCAAAAAACCTTACCTTGTAATTGAAATGAGACGATTTACATTATAATCTTTAACTCTGGGGCAACGTCAAGAAATGTTTTGAAAGTTATATTTCGTTTCTTATTTCTTGGGGATTAAATTTCAAAGAGGAAGGAAATCTAACTTTGCGCATTTATTTGTCCTGCTTTTCTCGAAGATAAAACTGCAGCCTGTTTTGCTCTTATGGGTGCCCTAAAGGCTCAGAAGACATGGAGCGTGCGGGAATGTTCAATCGAGTGTTGTACTGGTAACAACTGTAACAAGCAGACTCCAAACCTTCATACTGGCGACAGAAAAAGGGTTTTTACACCAGAAGGTAATCTGATGGAAACAAAACTTTGGTAACTTTTTGCTGGCCTTTTGTAAGGGCTAGTTACATGTACATGCCTCTTGAAATGTTTAATTTTCCGATCTACCAAAGGCTCCTTTGTTTTCCCTGCATATTGTCAAACTACCAGTCTTATTGGCTGGCGTTGTTGACGACTTTAGAGATTTAAGCACATCTGACTCTAATCTTGAAAAGGAAAGACGACTTGATGCAAGAACTTCTCTAGAAAACAAACTTACGATTAATTTAACCGAAGGACCTGTTTAAACAGGACCTTATGGAGCTGTTTTGCGACATGCGTGATTTTGTCTTGTTTGTAACCGCCTGTGTGTACCTTCTAACTCTATTGAGGTTGATACAGTACATGTCTTATTTTTTTTTCTCGTACCGTCCTACAAGTGTGGAAGTAGACCACTGCCTCGTCGACCTGGATCATCCCAAACGTTTATGGCCTTAACCTTTAACTCCCATGAGTGACCGTGACAAAATTTCTCCTTACAATAAAAATACAATATCAAGCAGACAGGTGATGAGAATAAAGAAAAATATCAATCAAAGGATTGTTAGCTGATCCAATACCAAATTCTCCATACTGACAACATGAGAACTGTATTGCAGGTAGTAAGGAGAATTGCTAATGAGATCTTGGGAGTAAAAGGGTTAATCCCTTGTCACTCAAGGTTCCTGCTCCATACCGCAAGACTGCTAACAGTCTGTTGCTGTCACAATAAGAAGAGAATATTAACCCCTCAGTATAGCATATGCCACACTCATTCTCAGATGTTAAATTCTATATTGTCCGGGAAAGCAGCTAAAGATGAACCTCTTTTTAAAATTACGGTTTACTACTTGTATTTACGAATATTTCTCATGAACGACAAAGTACGTTAATACGTGTCCGTTTTCTTTTCTTATTAGCTGACTGGCCCAAAAAATGTAACTCTTGCAGTGAAAAAGACGCAGGTACTTGCGCAGCAAACGAACAGAGTCAAACCTGTGTGACAGATCCTAAGTCACTGGGCACAGGCGAATGTGCGTCTGTATTGGGACAATACCGCGACAAGGATGGCAAAATCCATGAATCTTTCTTTCGAGGATGCCTTCAATGCACACGTAAGTCCACAGACTTAAGAAAATTTAGCAATTTTTAAGGGAGCGGGCTAAAAAAAAAGGAGCTCCACGCAATGGAGGGTATAGGGGCATGTTTTCCGGTCATATTTTGAAATCTCTAGGATTAGAAACTTTGCTTATTTTAACTGCCCTGATATACCATTCCCTCCAAAGTCACGTGGGATAATTACTAGCGAAGGCAGTTTCCCCAGGAAAGATTATGTTAGTAATTTTTTTTTATAAATTGTCAGAAGCAAATCATATTATTTTCAAGATGTCTTGACTGCTAGTCATGGCCTAGAGTACTGTATAAGTGATCTTCCTATTACTCTTTCTCACGGACGTGAAGGGCACAAAGCTCACATGGATATTTCTTGTCTCGAATCGGGGGAAAATACATTCTAGCGTATGCAATAACGCCGCTTTTGTTCAACGGTTGTTCTCCTAGATCTCTCTCACCTGGTTTACGTCTCAGCGAGTAAAAAGAGATTTATTGTTACAGTGAGCCACCCGTCTTACGATTTCTTTTTGTTTGTGTTTTTTATTTCCTGCATTTCAGACGCAAAACGAGCATGTTTCAGTTTAGGTGGTTTCTTCAAGAGGAACGGAGGATGGACAATGCAACAATGTGCAATCGATTGCTGCCAGACGCGAAACTGCAACACTGGGGTACCAACAATGACCCCGGCTGCCATACCTGTGTTCCCAGAGACAGGTGATGTGATTTTTCACACTGCTTTTATATTTTTTCAGTCTAACCAAGTAGCTACCGTATTAAGGGAAATTCTGCTAAGCCTTAGGCAGCTTCACAGGGAGCCCATCAGAGAGAAAATAGAAATGAAATTCTGGCATGTTTACAGGCACTGGCGAGTTTACTAGCTTGTACTCGCATCTTTCTCTATTTCTTTACCGAGCTCAAAACTTACCATCTCTCTTATTTCTATCTACAAACATTACGCTTTCGACATTGCTGATCCTGGCAGTATGCAGGACATGTGTCATATGAACTTTGTTATAGACCTCGCTCACCGTGGAGTCTCTGTGGCTCAGTGGCAGAGCATCGGAGCACGAAATCCGAAGGTCTGAGATTCGATTCCTCATGGGTACTCAGAATTTTTTCTTTGTCCCACGCTCGTGACAAGACGAAAAAAACATCTTTCTCTTGTTCTTGCATGTTTACAGGTAATTACAATAACTCAAAGCTTGTGATGGTCAATGCTCCACAGAATCCTTTGCAATTTTGGATTCTGCCGCCCCATGTATGTTCACGACTTAAAAAACATAGAGGAGTTGACGATGATTTCTTTTAAAGAAAAGATAGATTTACAAAATTATCTTCAGCTTAAGTAGCTAAAATTTTAAGGAGTACGAATAGACCCTCTGTAACAAGTAGAAAGAAAAGCCTGCGGGAAAATGGCTGGAAGAAACTTATTCCTTAAAAATAAATGCAGGCATCATGAAGGACCAGGCCAACTATCAAGTGAAGTAAATGTTGTGATGATTTTAGGAAATACCATCTTGTTAAAAGCAACAGCTTTAACATCGGATTCAAGCATTCGTAACCTCTCTTGTTGCCCAGTGGAGCGGGCCGGCAATAAAGATATAGGTAGCCATTGTTCCGATTTAAACCTCAATGTTAATGAACCCAATAATCAAAATAAAATCAACTTTCTAACATGTTCAGAGATCAGGAGGAGGTTGAATAAAGTAATTCAGTTATGTGTGTACATCAACAAAGAATTTGTTTTTTGATCCAACAGCTGAGTGTAATAGCTGCTTCGAGACTGATTCAGCTTCATGTAAGACAAATCAGAAGCCTCAGTTTTGCGCTACAAGTGAAGATTCACTGGGCACGAGTCACTGCGCCTCGATGGTTGGATCATTTCGAGACCAAAATGGAAACAAAGTGAATGGTTTTTATCGAGGCTGTGTGGATTGTTCAGGTGACTTCATGAGTAGAAGCCTGTAATATATTAAAACACGCGAGGTAACAATAGATCTACTGTATACTCAAATGGTTTTAATGCCCTCTGTAACGATATTTCGTGTAAGCTAAATGATGTATAGGGATATTTCGTGTGTATATAAATAACCTATTTTGTTTGTTCGAATCATCTTTGTTTAAAATCAGTTCAAGTGTGACTGTACGATTATTTTTCGTCATTTCGTTTTGCCTTCTTGTGTTTCTCCGAGTTATCAAAGACGATACACCCTCGTTTCCTCTGTTCTGATTGACCAGTGTCCTGATCGCTTACTCTAGTCTGCCAAATGCTCTCGTTACTTAATCGAACAACAGCCTTACAAAGACGCGATCATCAGTGTTACAATTTTAGGTTAAGAGATCATGTATTGACTGGATTATGCGAATCGAAAAGCGGGAAACATAAACAAAGCCCCTATTTGAAGCACCCAATGCGGTAGATGTTGAGCCCGAAATTTTATTGCGAGATAGTTGATAAGGGCAAAATCCGAATCGTCTATGAAGCTGGCATAACAAACGAGAATAAACGATTTGATGATTTTAGTCCAAATCTAAAGGCTGTTCAAAACTTTAACTTTTTTTATTGATCGACACATCGGGTTCTATTACGATTAAGTATCTAAATCCAATGTTGCGTTTTTACAAATGCGGCAATCTCATTGGCTTCGCTAATCGCTATATATTTCGTGATAGATAGTCGATATGGGAGAGGTATATCGTTGACCTATCGGTAACATCATTCAATAATGTAAAGTGAAACGTACTTACGTTGTCGCCAAACACTTTTCAAATCGAATTTTATTTTTAGCAGTTCACCCTAAGAGAGCTTCATAAGAAGAAAGGGGTTCAAAACAGTAGGCTCAGTAAAGTAGTTTACTAAATATATGATAAACCTTGGAACCGATAGAAAACGTCAGCTTTTTGTCCTTGCGCAATTTTCAAAGACCAGCATTGAATGGTCTCCGCTTAACCCTTTAAAATTCTCCTAGGAGACAAAGACATAATTTCTCCTTACAATATCAATGCAAGATCGTTATGACGCAAAAAAGTGATGAGGAAAAGGAAAAATATCATTGAGGGGATAATAAGTTAATTTAATACCAAATTCTCTAAACTAACCTCATGATAGGTTAGTTTATCACCGTGTATCGCTAATAAGATCTAAGGAGTAAGAGTTTTAGGTTGTATTTATTATTTCAGAAAAGAAGATAGCCTGTTCAACTATTGGTGGCTTTATCAAAGCAAATAGACGATGGTGGTTGGGTCAGTGCGAAATCACGTGCTGCACTGGTAGCAACTGTAACACTCATATCCCAACGTTGTCGGACGCTACATCAATTCAAGTTTTTCAGCCCCCAGGTGAGAGATTGCCGCAGCTTACCTCCTCCCCCCTCCCACCCCACTCGCCCCTATCTTGGCAGATCTTCTTCTTCTCAGTCTTCACGCGCGGGCACAAGCTTTAGCCTTGATTTTGAAAATTGACCTGACACTTTCGTGTACTCTTGTTGTCGCTTCCCGAAGTTTTACCTTTTTCGAGACTTCTTAATTTCATCTCAAATTTGTTACTTGTTCGTTTTAGAATTTTGGAAGTTTTAAAATCTTAAATTAAGCCAAATCTTGTGGTTTTCATATCTTTTATTACGGAGTTGGACTTTAGCCTCTTTTTTCGAAAAATTATTTTTATATGTACTATACAATGATCGGGCACTCTGTGGCATTGCAAGATACCCATTTGTAGACGCTTCCTCGTAAGAATTTACCCCTGGAATCCTGAAGTGGGGGCCCCATGAGCCACGTTTGACTGATTACGTGATCAACTTTGAAAGGAAAAATGGGCTTTAACACCAACGTACACACGTACAATTGAAATACTTAGACGAAATAAGGATTGAGATATTGTTAAAAAAGCGAATCACACATATCGAAAAAGGAATTATGAAATAAATCATGAATCATCGGGGTAAAATGAAAATAAATAAAACATAAATAAAACGTCAAATTTTTGTCCCAGGGAGGCACCAAAAGTTTTGACATTTTGCTAGGATTTAGTACCGCAAGACATTTCAGTCATGTTTTAATCTGAATAAACTGGTTATCACTCTTCCTTACAGCATCGGGACAAAGTCTGCAATGTCTGTATTGCCTCAAAGTTAACAGCGGAAGGTGTTACGACGACAAAGTTCAAGTTTGTGCCAGAGATCGAGAATCACTGGGTACCAGGCAATGTTATTCCGCAGCGATCAGATATTGGGACGAATCGAGATTTCAATCTCCCTCAATCTATGATGGTTACGTCCAGGGATGTATTGATTCATGCGAAGGTAAACACCTGCAAAATTAAACCAATCATATTTAATATGATTAGCTGGTAATTTATTAAAACATCAATACTTCCTTTTATCTAAAAAAGAAAGAAACTAATTTGTTAGGTATAATGACGCAAACGAGAGGAATTTAACAAGGGACATATTTCAGTTTTGACCCATAACCTGAAATGAGCGGTTAAAATTGCCAATATCATGGCCGACGACATAGCTGACACGTTGGGTGGATCATTTATTTTGTTTTTCATGCAAATAGTTCCTCGAAAATGTGTTATCCTTCTATTTTTGCCCACGCCTTTTCCTCTTGATTTAGTTTTTCAGTAGCTATGATGAGCCAACTCTTAGTACACACCGATTCCTTTTATATTAATTGAAGAAAAAAAAATCACTTCATAAAAACTATTTCACCGACCTTATCACCTTTGTCTTCTTTTCACAGACGAAAAAGCAGCTTGTGCCTCTATCGCTGGCTTGGTGAAAGACCGTAAACTTTGGACGTTAACAGAATGTAAAATTCACTGCTGTACGGGCGACAAGTGTAACACTAAAGAAGTATTCCTACCATACGGTGTGTATTATTTTAATGGGAGCAAATTACAAATAATTTTTCTTGCATTCTAGTTTATTTTATTTCAATTCTTATACGCGCAAACCTATAATCGCCAACATTTTCGAGACCATGCAAATATTTTCATTTTTCGTTGGAGCTCTGTCTATCTTCTGCTTTGCTCTTCCCTCAGCTCTGACTCTAAATCGTGCCTTTCACTTCATTTCCTCTCTTTTATTTGCCTCTTTTTGGTTCAAAGACTTTCTCATTGTAAATGTACGCTCTTTCTTCGGTCTTTCTCCTCTTCTTTCCTTAAGTCAACTGGCTAGCGTGTTTTCCGCAATTTCCTTTCAAAAGCTGGGTTCAATTTGGCATATATAGCGTTGACCCAAATCCGGCTTTATTGGAAAAAAGCAGATCAATCCTTGCGAGTGTCGAATATATCGTTGTTTTACTCCCTCCTGACCCTTCTGCCGTTCCCCTCCACATGAGCTAACATTAGAATCGATTTCCCTCCCTTGCAAGTATGGTTGAACTGCCAAGGACACTATGTGCTGCGTTAGGTTCCTCATATTACGATGTGTCGAAAGGCTGAGGAAGCCCTGCCCCAGGTCGCCTTGGATATTGGCGACCTAAAATGGTCCCAGCATGGACCAATATGATTGCATTTTCGAAGAACTGAATACAGAACAACAAATTATGTTTTGAGATGCAACCCAGGATGAACAAATTTGACAGTTGTCCACGTTTTGGAGCGTTATTTCTGAGCTATTTATGACGGCAAAAGCTAACGTAAAGTCATTCTGAAGATATACACATTGCCACATGATCGCCATTCGTTACACCTTTACATAATTTTACATTGCATGCCACTCCGCCCTTACCTTATCTAAACTCTAATGCGGCGCTAAGAACATAATACAGTGAAAGGTGTGTATGCCAAGATTTATCTTCAAATTGCAATAGCAAAAAGGAATATAAAAATAAACATACAGGGAAAACAAAATATTGAATTGCAGCTTCTTTTAAGGTCATTGTTCACATCTTCTATTAATTGCTTTTTCTGCACAGGCTTCAGCACCAAGCGACCAACTGATTACTCTTCGTTGCCAACTGAGTCAACTAAAACAACTAAAGGAAGTCGCGGCAGTAGGCTCGCGTCGTTCCACGCGTCCACACTCGCGTCGTTTTACACGTTGACAGTCGCGTTTGGTCACATCTTTCACCGCCTATAAAAGCAGAAGATGAGAAAACGAAGAAAGACTGAAAGAAAAATAGGAAATATAGTGATCTGTTACTGACTTATTCTATTAATTTGGCTGTAACAAGAAAAAATCAAGCTGTTGATCCTTTTGTTGGAATTATCTTCATAAAGAATAAACAGGGCAAACTTTAATCAAATTTTTGTTCTCCTTTGTATTCTGAAGCTCTTTTCAATATCAGACAGTTCAATAAGAGGTTTGGTCCGTTTTTCAATAACCCAATCGGATTTTCCTTTCCATCCTACTTGTGATAGTTCTGTCCTGGTTGTCACAGTCCCGTCTGATTTTATTTCAAATCCGTTGTGTACACGAAAATCGCCATCTTAGAAAACGTCACGAACCCCAGGAAGGATGATAAACGTGACTAACCCTTACTTTCATTTCATGTCAGATGTTATATTTCTTTTAAGGCGCACAGTGAATGATAACGTGAATGTAAATATTAAAACAAGACGGAAATCGTACAGGAAGGAGGAAGTTAACTTCTCTTGGGGGCGAAAAAAGGTTGTAAATAAAATGTTGCCGTCAGTGGGACAATAAATGAATGCGTTAGGATCGGTCAAAAAGTCTGTTAGATACAGCTAAAATCTCCGAGTTTAAGTCGTTTTCGCATGGCGAACTTGATCGGCAAGCACTAGGCCTGGAAGATTCTCCCAAATCGTTTTCAGGAAACGAGGAACAAATCAGCTTGAGTGATTCAGGGTGGATCGTAGTTGATCGAAAAGCGTTCAGAATTAAACTTGAGACAAAAATAAAAAAATAAAAAAAGGCAACAGCTCCGTGGAGGTGGGAGTGAAAGCTGTCTCCTGTTGAGCAGAGGATGCTTAACCCTTGGACCTTGGTCAAGTGATGAATAACTGACTGTAAATATATTAAAATCATTTTGATGTTTATTTGGGACCAACATAATGACCCGCTCCCAGTTGGAATTTGAAGCGCGAGAACCTTCCGGACACAAAATTTCCCTATAAGCGCCGTGAATCAAGCTCTCGGTTGACCAGCGTGGGTGTCTATCTGCCTGTGTGAGATGGCTTATGTCCAATTGCAATGAGGCGGATCTCTAAACAGGCACCGACAGTATAAAAATAACCAGCCTGAATAATTAGTCAATGGTAAACAACAGCATATTGGCTTGACTTCTTTCGGGAGCTCACAATGCCTCAATCGAGCTCTGGTCGTGTTTACGTAAATTCAGTCTATGAAATCGGATCATCCTGACCATTTGTAAGAATTCATATGACTACCAACTTTTGCCGTGATGTTCAAAAACCTTTTGATGCAGTTTTCACAAAATTTTACCGTGGCAAATGTAATTATCATCCGTGCTAAATAGAGCCATGTGATAAAAGTAGTCTATTCAAAGTGATTTGAGTGAAACCGAGAAAACATTCACCCCTCTGATGATTTTCAGGCCATTTTCTCTATTGTGTGGCGCGTGCTCCGCCGATTCATTTTGAAATTTACCGCCGGTTAAGTCCAAACAAGTTCCTTGATTAGTCGCGGCATTCGCGTGATGTAGTTTCGGTAATTTAGGACTGAGGGATTAACCTGAGGTAGATGTTGACATAATTACCATAACTATGCGGTACTGACTCAAAAATTCTGTCGTGACACTTGTGGGTCACCATGTTACCCCTAACTCAAATGTTGGCTCAAGTTCCTAGAAGAGTGGAACTTCCGAATTTCTTAGAATTTAAAAGCGGAGGTTGACCTTTGGAAATTCGTAGAATTGCTGCAGCTAATTAGTATGGGTGTAACATCTTACGGAAAGCAAGAAATTACAGGGAAGAACTAAAGATTTGCTCAAGTAGGTTTATTCCATATTCTTTGTCAAGATAATTACAATTCACTGCGTCAGGTGATTTAATCAATGATTTAAGATTTGTTCGTGCGAGGTTCCTTTGATTCGATTTCGTCGTATTATTTAGGGTTGTACTCGGTGGATAATTTTCAAATTCAAGACTATTGCAAAACATGGTCACGATATTTCTTGAAGGGAACGTCGACTCGATTGCAAATCGTTGACGACACCTCATTAATTCGAGCACGGGTAGATTGCCGATTTGTTTATAGGGAAGTCGAGCACAGGAAGAACAAAACACAGCTCATGATGTTCTATATGACAACGAATGGAACTTCGATCCTAACAATTGAAAACAATTGTTTCTTACATTTGGTTTGAAAGATGAGCTATCAGAAACCCTATTTCAGAGAGAAAATCTTGCATTGTTGCGTGTGAGATGGTGATTTTAGATTTTAGGGTCGGTCATTTGAACGAGTATCACTTATTCAGTATGAGGAAATACAGGAGTGCTCTTAGTGTACCTTAAGGTGTCTGTAGAGGTATACAAACGTTTACAAGCGTTAGATATAATCATTCGGTTCCCAAAACTCGACATTCACATTAAAGGTTTGGCTATATTGAAGAAGAGTTTGAGTGTAGTTTAGCAAAAAACAAACACAATTAAGAGTCAACCTCGATTATAATCGAACCGATGACTTCATTAACTGGCTTCACTAGTCTTAGCACAATACGCGCTCGCTCTCTTTGATACGAAGCAATGACGAATTTCTTTAAAACATGATGCGTAAGAAAGTAAACCTATCAGTACGGAAGTTATGGGACTTAAATTTGTTTTTTAACAAACAGACTATCCAGGGAAAGCGGCGACACTAGTGTCAATTATATAATTATGCAGACAGACGATTCTGCCGTCGTAAATAAGTTCTAAATAAATTTCGCATCAATCGCAAGCTTAAATTTTGATCTTTTACTGCGTTGATGTGTATCACTGACTTCTTCGTGATATGTTCCGTAACTCTTTCTTCTCGTGCACAATAAGAGCGATCTGCATTTGCAACAACATTTTCAATTTAATTTGCAACTTAATATGGTTAGAGATCAAGCGGAACCAATAAGGGGATGTCTTACTTTATTACAGTTTGTGGTTCCACTCCCTCATCCCCTCTTTTATTTGATATTACATTTTAAAGCGCAAGCTGAACACAATTCAAAAGTGCTCATTCCTCATTCTCAATTTTAAAAAAAGAAATACATTTTTACTACCATTTGAAGTATTCCCAGTCGGTTTTGGATCTCAAAAGGCCCCTCAATACTGGCATCAGTATTCAATTAATAGATGTATACAGCGAACATGGGTTAATTTTACGACCATTATGGGAATATAAACTGAGGACTCCAGCTACTGTCTTTTAAATAAAATCATAATATTAGGTCAACATCATACAGGTTTTACAATGTCAGAGTGACTACTGAACTTTGCTTATAATAAGTTATTCAATCTCTCAACCTAAAGTACAATTCTTTGTCATGATAGACCTTGCATTAAAATATTTAAGACTATAACTGAATCACTATTCAACTCCACATAAGTAAATTATTTGATATCGTAATAATAATAGTAATAATAATAAGAAGAAGAATATTCTACTTATGACAATAATGATAATGCCATGATAATTATTTATAGTGAAAGAGCCTGGCATGATTGAAGATCAAAAAGATGGGTGCACCCCCCTTTGCAACTCTTTTTTAGCCTCTGCTGTAGTGTCTTTTGCAATTGTATCTTTTGGAATGGCAACTTTTTCCAAACTAAAATAATATTCACTTCATAAACATTGATTTATCATAATTGTTAATTCTCATATGCTTAAGTGCATCTAGGAGTAATGTCTAGCAATGGGAAATTACAACATCAATTTTAATTTTAAAGGAAAGAAAAATTGGTTAGAGGCAAGATTTTCACAATTCTTTCAAACGTATTCATGATTGGGCTGTTTTCCTTAGGGATATAATCACATTTCTAACTTTTTTAAATGTATCAAAATTTGATCTAGTCACTCGAAGTGCATTTTCCTTTATAAAAGTTTTAATTATGAAAGGCATTTTTGTTTACATAGCTGGTTTTAACCATTTTTCAAGTAGATCAAATTTTCAAATGATTGAAGGGATTTTCACTCTTTTGAAGAACTTTTCGATTATGAGAAGCATTTTTGTTTACACAGCAGTTTAAAATAATTTTCACTCCATAAACTTTGATTTATCATAATTGTTAATTCTCATATGCTTAAGTGCATCTGGGAGTAATGTTTAGCAATGAGAAATTGTAACATCAATTTTAATTTTAAAGATAAGAAAAGTTGGCCAGAGGCAAGATTTTCACTATTCTTTCAAATGTATTCACGATTGGGCTGTTTTGCTTTGGGATATAATCACATTTCTGACTTTTTTCAATGTATCAAAATTTGATCTAGTCACTTGAAGTGCATTTTCCTTTATAAAAGTTTTAATTATGAAAGGCACTTTTGTTTACATAGCTGGTTTTAACCATTTTTCAAGTAGATCAAATTTTCAAATGATTGAAGGGATTTTCACTCTTTTGAAGAACTTTTCGACTGCAATGATCCTAGCGTCCCAGAGCATTTTGGTCAATCAACAAGTCATAGAAGCAATGTTGCCAGAAAGTTATCTCCATCACATAAGTAACTTTTCACGCTTTTCTTTTTCTTTCAGATGGGGAATTTGCTATCACAGAAAAACAGACCCAAACATGACTATGGATCATCAAGATATGGAGGAGCCACCTCGAGAGGAGGAGGTTATTCATCAATATATGGAGCTCATTCTGCTGTTTCTAGTGACAGTGGAAGTTACCTATTCATCAACAATTATCCAACTGTAACCAGTACTTCAACAGTCCCACCTGTAAGTGCTACCCCTGTAAGAGCTAGTGTCGAGTTGCCTTCCTGGGCATCTTCCTATCACCCCAATGACGCCACTAGAAAATCTTATGAAACTGATGGTGTTATCAAATCAGCATCAAGGGAAACTTTTGGTATTTCTGCTGCGAAGCCCCCAAGTACCGGTTATTTTGCCACTGTGGAATCAAAATCGAATTGGCCAAATGTAACTCCTGTCACAAGACGTGTTGGAGAAAGAAGTAATTACACAAGTTCTGTTTGTGGTGATAAGAGTTCGTTTTCCAACAGCTATGCCGATGATAAATTAAAATCAAAGTCTACCAATGTTCATCCTAATAATGGAAGTTATGTAACAGAAAGAAAGAGTTCAATATCAACTGGAAGTCCATTGGCTTTCGACTGGACACCCTCATCTGAGGATGTCAAAACTACACTCGTCCCAAGTGTGTATGCCACCCCCTTACACAACAAAAAGTACACTAGTGGTGATGCCAAATCAACATCACATGCATCTAAAAGTTATCATGCTGTTCCTGGCTCTAGATTTACAGCAGAAAGGAGAAGTTCCACCTCAAGTGTTACGCCTGTAGGACCCAAGCGGCATCCTAGCGGCCGACGCAGTTCGTCAACAAACAGGCGGAACATCAGTCATGATGGCAATCAAGGAGATGGCAGAAGACGAGTGGCAACATACGGTGCTAGAGGAGGAGGCAGGGTGGTCATTTCTGTACCCCTTAACCCGTGGCAAGTGCTGGGTCTCAATTCATCTGATGCATCTCGCGAGGCTATCAAAGCAGCTTTCAAGAAGAAGATACACCAACCAGTGCGTCAGAATCGTGCCATGGTATCAATTGCTCATCATATGCTGACCTCTTCAGCTGGCAGGTACAAGCGAGTTGAGGGCACAGATGAATTTGTGGTTACAAGGCGTGACCACTTCATGCTCGCAGCTTGTGGCCATACACACGAGCTCACCCTAAGGATTGCTAAGGATGGTAACATTGTCAAACGAAGGGATGAGCATGGTCGAACACTGCTTTACATTGCAAGTAAGTCAGGCTTTTATGATACCTGCAATTTACTTCTCCAGAAAGGTGCTTATGTCAATGAAGCTCAAAGAGATGGCAGCACTCCTCTCCACGGTGCAGCATTTTTCGGCCATGAACTAATTGTCGGTCTCCTACTTCAACACGGAGCAAAGAGTGATATCAGAAACAAATGGGGTAATACCGCCATTGACGAAAGCGCCACTCCAAGTATACGGAGTTTGATCCAAACCGCGTCCGGAGATGACATTTCTTCTCTTGCCGCCAGGCTCAAAGAGAGGCAACTTGTGAAGAGTGTACGACTCATTGAGTACCAAGGAGAAGTCATAGCAAAGGAGCTCACGCGTGATCTTCGTGGTCTGGATGCCCTCACGCGAGATGAGTTGAATAACATTCACAGCACATGGGAAACAGCATGGCATGGCACTCGTTATAGGTATCTGGAGTCAATAATTGACAAGGGCCTTCTACCCTCTGGGTCTAGTGGTATCAAACCAGCAAAGGGGCACTATAAACTTGGTGAAACGCATTTTGGCATCCGAGACTGGGCAGCAGCGATCTTTCTTTCACCAAGTATTCTTTACGCATCTCATGCCTGCTATTCTGAACGAATCTTTTCCGAGTCCCAACGGTGGTGCGTCCTTGTCAAGGCCTACTGTAAACCTGGTAGCTTCAAGTCATATGATCCAACCGTGTTCCAATACAAACCAATGGATGGTGAGCCAGTCATGCCAGAGTATCGCATTCCAGTCACTGAAACCGACAAAAATGTAATTCTGCGAGTTGAGTCCACACGCAGCGTTGTCGTCCAATCATTGATATTTGTGCGCCTCAGCTTTCTTGAAAATCAAAACATTAACTTTGAACAAGCAATGAAACTCTTGCGGTGATGTGACACACCAACCGCAATCGCCAACTATGGGTTGTTCGGATGGCGCCATCTTTTTGCCTTTAAAGAGCGTGCCAAGCTCCAAACAAAAAAAATAGCGAAACAACTCCAAAAACCATGAATTATTTTTTTTTGAACGATTGGATTCAGTTTCGCAGTTGTACCTAGTTAAACCATGATTCTTACTAACAGTAGGTTCTTTTACTTTTGGTGCACCCTGACACCGAACTAAGGTATGAGCTGTACATGACCATGTGAATTGCCTATCTCCAATATATGATAGCATAGAGATAGCCAGGAACTGAATATTTCAGTCACAGTTGTAGGCACTAAATATATGACTGCTCGATTGAATACTCTAGATGGCGAAGATTATTATATTCACTGTGTTAGGACTTCGTCTAGCTTGCTACAAATGTTGCGGCTTCAAAATAAAAGTGTTTAACTGTAACAGTCTAATCAAATAATTTCTTTACATGGTGATGCTTGGTCAACTCGGCCGAATCGGAGTCTGTGTTGCTAAATAACATCAGATAGTTTGGTTTAAGACGAGTTGCGACTCTGTACGGATACCTAGATCAATGCCAGCTTGCTCTGTCTACGCTTTAATCTCCGCTTTCTGTCGAGGAAAGATCACTCAATCGTCCAATGTCACCCTAAGGTTAGACACTAATTTGCCATTTTTTGCCGAAGGATGATGAGATTGAAGTATAAATACGCGGAAAACCTTTCCCGGAGGATGTCCACGTTACGAATTAAAAAGTTCTTCATAGATAACTCCTGGAGAAAAGCAATTCGCCTTTGCAGGACGTAGTTAAGTGTGAAAACTTATCAATAATTCACGATTTCGTTTTCTTTCCTTCCTAATTCTGACACTCGTTCTTTGTGAGAAGTTTCCTCGCACCCCTTACCTACCTGACCTTCACAAAACATTCAAAAAAAGTATGACATGGTCATTAATTATCGTGTTTAATCAACAGTAACTACGAACGTATAACATGTTCACCACTTCATATGGCAAATAAATACAAATACAACACGTGATATAATTTAAATTACGTTTTGATATCCACATTATGGTAAAGTATGTTCCAGAATCTTTTCGCTTATGAATAAAAGACTGCAGGTCGGCTCTCACGGGTGCTACGGAAGAAGCAATGAGGCCCAGAGGTTTCGAGCCGGCGAGCGATGTTCTGTATAAGGAATTCTTTCTGGGTGGTGCAAAGTAAGTAGGCAGCAAATTTGTTTCAAATTGCGCTGAAAACTAAGATATCAACTTTGACTACAATTGATTATTTTGACTTGGATGGATTTAGATTTACATGACTGTATCAAGGTATGTGGCAAATGAGTCTAGTTCTTCACCAGACGCGCTGGTGAACACTTTGCTGAGTTTGTGAATTTCCACCGTTCCGCTTTCGAACACCAAGACCTAAAAATATGAAGACAAACAAAAAGCAAGAAGTTGCGATGTAAAAGTGGTCGTAGACCCAGCACGAGGCTGCCGAAAAAATAGTAACTAAAGAACAAAGTAACCTTGCCTAACTCTTCTCTTAGCTAAAACGATGTGATACTGACGGAGTATAATGACAAACAAAGATCAACTACACTTAAAATGATAGTTTACGTAGAAATTGAATTTCATACCAATTCGGGATTTCTTCCTGGAATACCAATTCCGGATGCTGAGTAATCATTAGACAGTTCAAAACATACAACTCTGGGAGAGATCAACGATAAAAACAGCAAAAAATAAATAAATAAACGGTAAAATAGCGGATAAATATTGAATCCATGCATAGGTAAGGAAAAGGGTTTCACACCACAAAATTTTACTCTTTCGACTGGTATTAACTTCAAATCCACACAAATCGAAACGACCACTTACATGGCAAAATTATAAATTCACTATCGCCTTTTCTTTCCACACTTTAAATCTAAAGTTAGGAATGGAGTATCTCTCTCTCTCACTTATTGTTCATCCATTCTTAGAAAAGAAACTGGGCACGCTGATATGATTAACCCGGAACAAAAACCCAGAAAAAGAAAACGTCTGTGCACTTACCGTCCATGTTTGAATTTCTCAACGGCTACTGGACCTTGGTCACTTTTAAGTAAGTCCCTGATAAATGAATATCAACCATTAATGGATTATTTATGGCTGAGCGTGGTTGGGTAGGAAAAAAGTTTAGAAGTGAACAAAGTTTCCCTTTCCATCTCAACAAATTCGTTTTTTCTTTATATGATTGAGTCCAAAAAATCGTCAATGAAAAAAAATCCAAAATCATTCCGAGGATACATAACCATATTTTCTTTAATTAAATGACCTCCCACAGATATAACAACCTGATTTTCACAAAAAAATTTTAAAACATGACTTAATACAATGAAATAATTTAAACCATAATTGAGGAATATACGTCACAATTATAAGATTTTTATATTAACTAAGGGTCTTCTTCTCTTCTCTCACTACCCTCCCCTCCCCTCCTCTCCCCTCCTCCAGTTGACGTGATGTGATGTCCTACCAACAAGAATGTTCACAAGTGACTGTTAGTATTTGGCAAAGGCACCCTCCAAGCTTATAGGGGCCCCCTACAAGCCTCACCAGATGTGTAGATTAGAATTTATATCCAACACATAAAATACACTAGGCCTGCTTCGAGACCATTGCACCGATATTATTCCATTCCCGTTCGTGGATGTAGACCAGCTGAACAACGGTATTTCTATAAAATCAAAAGTAGAAACGTATGTTATGATACCCGTTCACTGATTAAATTTTTCCATGAAATCTCTTCACACTTTATTATCAAATAGCCATAACGTAAATTTGAATAATAAAGAGGGAGTCTTGCTGTTGGAGAGTTCCTATATTTTTTTAGCATATGTTAACCCTTCACTCCCAGTATGCATATTCTCCATACTACTCCGTAGACATTTCCCAGGGTTCTGACAAGGAGAATTTGTTCAGCAATCAAGAGGTTCTTTAGTTGGTGATCATCTCCTTTATTCTCATGACCTTAATGTTTGATTCGAGGATGATATTGTGAGGAGAAATTGGATGTTAGTCACTCTTAGGGGTTAAAGGGTTAAAACAGTGGATTGCGTTGAAGATGCTATTTATTTGACAACTCAAATTCCAAATATCCTTTGCATTCACCTGCGAGCAACTCGCGCGGGATTTGCGCCCGAAAACTTTGTAATCGTTGCAGGAATAAATGAGTTAAAATCATCTTTTTGTGCTATTATCTCACTTTTTTAGTGTATGCTAAAACAATTAGTCATCCGCCCGGTAAATATCCATCTCTACCCATCTTCGCTTTAATGAAGAATTGTTAAAAATAATTACGCAGACAGTAATAAAAATCATGTTTGTACTCACCGTTCTTCAAGTTAAACAGCCACAAATTCCCATCCTCTGTTCCTGCCTATGAAAATAGAGCAAATGATACATCTCAACCTGATGTCGCCCATTTTATGATTTAATTCAATCCGGTCTAATTCATGGAAAAACACTGGGAAAAAGGCGCTCAAAACACTCAAGAGACAGTCGAAGAAGCCACCATTTACGGACTACATGTGAGGATGGTAAAAAAACATCAACTCGCAACACGGTTGTTTAAGGGCAGATCCTAGGAGAAGTCTGTCTGCCCTCCCCATCAATTTGATTAACTATTTATATGAAAATTTCCCGAGTGGATCCTATTCCTTTTTAAAGAAATACTATTAGGCGGTATTATTTCACTTTGTAGTGTCAGTCATGCTCGACGTCATCGTGTGCACACATGAAACGCTTTCCCCCACCCTATCCTCCCACCCTAGCCCCCCACCCTATCCCCCTGCCCCGGATGTCAACGAGTACGGCTCAAGAAGCTCGTATTCATTTGTTTATCTAGTTTTGACTATGGCCTTCTCAATGTTCTTATAGCGTGGAGGTAAATTTATTTCACACAAATATGACACATAATTAAACGGGTAGCTTACCAGCATACATGGCAACTGCCATGGAGAGAGATCAACAGCTGACACGTTCACTAAGTTCTCTAAAAGTAAAAAGTTCACCCGTGGTCAAAAAGCAGCAATACAACCTCTTAACCCTTCAACTTCCAACATCTATTTGTCGTCCCCTTCAGCTGTTGCACATTTTATTGCTAATAATATACATGCAAAAATTACGTGCGCCTGATTGGCTAAAAACGAGTGCACTTTTCATATAACACGGGTGCAAAGTTGTAACAGGAGTGCAAATTACAAATTGCGCGCGCGCTGCCGAAATCTCGTCCTGGATGGTGTATAAATGTTATAGGAAGAACTTATATGTTAATCACTTCTGGAAGTTAAAAGGTTAAAGAAAACAGTCTGGTTTTTTTTTTTCTGTACCGAACGGACGACAAACACGATAGACGAAATCGGAGGTTAAATGTTTATAGTAATGCTATAGTTACCAATAGCAGGTCTGTGTGCTTTTGGTGGAGCTCGGCTACCATGCCTTTCACAATGAAGAATATAACCCTAACAAAGAGAGATACATATTAAAATCAGGAGGACATGAAAAATGATCACAATCAAATTTTCTTTTAAAGGTGAGACTAACAGTACGTCCATCTAACTTATGTTAGAGTATCATTTTTAAAATAAGCGCGCATTGGATATGAGATGGTGTTTTGGCAAGTTTCTTCTACTAGGTAAATCTCTGATTTAAAGACAACTGTTTTAATTCAGCATCATCTCAGCGCCGCTAAGAATTATGGCCGCTCAAGGTTTCGGCTCACTTGTTAGAGTATTGTTTTGTTTTTTCAAGGACGAATCTCAGATCGAGAGAAAACAGTAGAATTTTTTTCTTACTTACCCCATCTGTGCCGACGTAAATGTGATTAGGATCATGAGGTAAAAACCTCATTATTAGCGACTGTAAATTCATCTCGCTACGAAAATCCCTGGAACGAAATCAAGTTCAGTATTATGCGCCAACAAGGCAAGTTGACCAACCATATTCCATATTCCTCTCTGCCTCATAACGTTTCATTTCTTTAAGTAAAAGCTAGTAATTAAACTGTTAATGACCTAACTAATTAACGTATTCCTTCAATCGCTTAATAAATCTGTTGGTCGTGGAGCTATTTTAACCTTCAGCTTTGCACAGCGTGGGGTTACGATGTTCTTTCCACAAAAATTACAACGGTCAAGCAGTGTAACGGTTCTTCAGAGAAATATCAATAAATGATTTCTATACATTTCTTAAGGTGCTGACAAGGAGAATTTGTTTAACAATCAAGAGCTTCTTTAGTTGGTGATCATTTCCTTTATTCTCATGACCTTAATGTGTGATTCAGGGGTGATATTGTAAGGAGAAATTAAACGCTGGTCACTCTTAGGGGTCAAAGAGTTAAGGCGCACAACTGCAACAAACCTGAACGGTGAGTGAAGAGATATTGAAGAGCTTCTGATGAGCTTAATTTTTCCTCCAGGAGACAAACCTGAGTAACATGAAGGGATACGAAGTCAGGGAGATTCCTTTTTACGCTGCATATGAAATATGAGTTATCAGGTACACAAAGCAGTGGTTCAGCAATGAAGAAAAGGTCGATCCTCTACTTCAACTCTCAACACTTTTCAGAATTATTCCTTTGGTGGCAAATAGCTAGAATAAATATTATGCGATTTTTTTGTAATTAAAACAAGCCTTTTTGTTTGATTTTCTTGTTTGTTGGTTTCTATTTTGCCTCAATTTTTGCTATTATTTGTCTCTAAAAGGACATCAAAAGAAAGATACCACGCCTAAGTACAAGGGTAGTGAGCCTATATAAAGTTGCCACTGACCTAGATCCGATTCTGAGCCTGCATCGTTCGCTCTGTCGAGTTCCACAACAACCTATGATTCACAAACGTTATTAATTAACACAATAATTAATGAGGAGAGAAATAGATCGACCAGAATACAATAACAATGTCATATTACCCAGAGGTTAATGGCAGCATTTTCTTCCAACGACGCTAATTGAAACGATAGGCCTGACATATCATCTGCAAAAAAATGAAACGTTAAAAATCGTTGAAATATTTGGACTAAAAGGCGAGAGCCATAATCCAAGACAGTACGAAGAGGATCTATCGCTTAAAGAAAGGAACGAGAAGACGAACTTAGCAACATATCGATCACTATATCTCTCCGTTACTAGATGCGTTATTATTGGTCAATTTAGCGGGTTGTATTTCAACGTACCATTTGTTTCAATCGAAATATTCCCCTTCTATTTGATCCGAAAGACATAATAAATATCTTATCAACTTCGTTTTCTCGGTCCGTACTTTAAGTTTCGGAGCCTCGTTTTTACCGCTCAGATTAATGGTTCGCGCCCCATGTGCTTGACGTAGTGTCTGAGCCTTTTAAAGAAACGATTTCTGATCACACCGGCTCGTGCTAACCGGCCTACGTCGGAAGCAAAAAAACTGAATGCGATAACGTTGTTCAGTCATTACGACATTTTAATCCACAATTTAAAGAGGAAACATTTTAAATGTTCATTTGCCCACCAAAGTTGAAGACATCTGGAGATGACGAACACGAAATTTTAGTGACAAAACACAAAACCACGTTTAACAGGCCTTACAGTGGAGCAAAGACCGCCTCATTGATAAATTAATAAGTGCGCGCAGTTCCTAAGAGATATAAAATACAACTAAGGATTGGGATTCAGCGAGCTGTCAACGATTAATGCAAGCTAACCATTTGAGGTAGACGCTCGGAACTTTTGTACCTGCGTTGTATTTGACTAATTTTTGATGTACCACCGACTTTGGGAACTACAGCTTGTTACAAAACTAACGAAGCTTTCCCTTTGATAAATAGGTACTTCACTTTACTAAAACTAAATCAGTGCTCGGTTCTGTTACCTGACGTTACACTTGTTCCCCCAGAAGCCCTTGCGCTGTTGGAATAACGGGGTAATAAATAAGGTCAATGAAAGAGAAAGGGGAAAGTTTATAGAGAAAATCGGTGCTGCGTCAGAGGGGGGGGGGCAGTTTATCACAAGATAATTTGGTGTTATCAACTGACTTGAAAATATAAATTGACCACAAAAAAGAGTTTCAAAAGCCGATGTTGAGCGTTAGCCTATCGTCAGAGCGAATGTTGAGACACTAATAAGCCCTTCAGCTTAAATCTCTAAGGTGGCTAATTTACGTTATCAACTCAGTTGACGAAACAAAATTGTCAATGAAAAAGGTTATACTAAACTAGAAAAAAAAATCATTTTATCCAGAAATAAATATTAAGAAAAAATAAATCATGTCACATGACATCCGGTTAACTGGGATTAAAGTTTAAACCATCGTTACCGTTGATTCTCCTACTATCTTATCTTCAAATCAACCAGATACAAATTCTTCTTCTACGACAAAAGATAAGAAAACGAACCACGACCTCTTATCAACAATTAACAATTCATTTTGATCTAAAATAGCCATTTGAGGTTAAACTTAATATGAAGAATTTAAAGCCGACTTTTGATAAATTGCACATATATCATTGCCGTTCACTGTTTGATACAAATTTTCACTTAAACGTCAAAGAAACAGTTCATTCTTTACCTCGTGACGGCTGAAATCTCTTGCAACAGACGTCTGGAGTACAGAGATTGTAATTTAAAAAATATATGTACTCGTTATCATTTATAGGTCAATTAACATAAATTTATTTCTACTTTGCTCTGATAATGGTGTGCGCTCATAATAACATAACTTCCTAAAATTATTTTAATAACCTTATGGGTTATTTTAAACAAACTTGGTGATAATTTAATCGAAATACCTTCATCGTCTTTACTTCAGACTACTTTCCTATTGTCGGAATTTTTATTTAAACGAGAACAGCCGCTTGAAGCGTCGAGTTTATTTTCAATTAAAGCTTTAATGCGTGAAAAAAACTTCTGAGTTTTAATTTACAAACCATGAGATGATACAATAATTTTAGTTTGGTAAAAAGGTTAAATCAATAGAGGTCTCATCAATTCTTAAGGAAGTCTTTCATCCACTAAACGTCTGTTCAATTTTATGGGAAGTTTTTAAGGCTAAATACATGTCAACGCACTTCATATCATTGAACAGTGACGAAACTCATCCCTTGTGAAAACTACTCTGGAGATTATTTCATTCAAAAACTGCCACGCATGTCATAATTCTTAAAATTTATGGCTAATCCAGGACACAACTTATTTGGGTTTTCAAACAGACCGGCACAGATTCACTGCATTTCGACTGAGTGTTACTAAACCAAAACCAAAGTAATCCCAACAGGCAATCAGTAGCATGTAAAATATCACAGGGAGCCAATGAGAACTCAGATTAAGACAAGAAAATTTCCCCAAGCGCGGGAAAACACGAGCAACAAAGTTGCATTTGATTTTAGTTTTGAATCTAATTGGTTGAGAAAGTGGCGCCAGTTTTATTTACCAATTACAGGGCAAAATACAGCAAAGCTAATGCAATCGTGGATTACTCACTTTAATACAAAATTGCTCTATAAAAATCAACAACGCAACACGGTTTTTTGTCATGTAACCAACACTGACCTGTCTCCAGGCATGACGACGGGTAGAATCGATACGACCGGACTCAGATGACTTTCGTCCTTTCTCAATACTCCAGCTGAAAATATTAGGAAATAAAACTCGTAAACGTCCTCCTGTAGAAGCCATTAAAGAAAATTTCACAAATAGTACTGGAACAACTTGATTGGTAACACCCACCTGTGCTGAATGTTGGCGGCCTTAAGAAGACCTCGCTGTCTCCAACGGAGATTTTAGAAAATGAATGCATCAACGAAGACTCTCTTAAGTCCCACGCTACGACTGATCCATCCTCCTGGAAATGTAACAACGCCTCTGTTAAACTTCGTTTTTAATGGGGTAATTTAGAGTTATCAATTGAGTTGATAATCCTTCATTTCCTTGTTATATTTTCCCACCGACGCAGCACCACAGTTTCTTTAGAAACTTAACCCCTTTATTCGTTTGTTTTTAATATTTGATGAGGAATGTGGATGACGCAGTCGACCAGGGGTCGGCTGGCTGGACTTCAAATTGAGGGGCCCGCTTCGATCATTGACTGGGGAGACTTACTCGAGACACTTCAGTACTCTAGAAGTTTCTCCCTCCACCCACGAGTAAAAAAAAAAAAAATTCCGAAAAAACTGTCCAAGAAAGTAAACGAAATATTGTCAAAGCGATGATCTGCCACGTGCTAGCACACCGTCGGGGGGAGAAGGGGAGCGACATACCAAGTCGCTAATGCTACAGGAATCGGGATAAGTTCCTCAGGCAATAACAGCCCCACGTCAATAGAGCCGTGGGAAGAAACCTTTAGTGCTAAACATCTCATGTCACCATCCTGTTCATGCGACCGCTTTTTAATGCCGCGCATGAACTAGAAGCATCTTGTGACATAACTTTCCCATTTGCAAGAAACTTGATCGTTACAAAACATTGTCAAAGCACTCTTTTTCTTTCAAATGTGACGCACTCGCAAAATAGCAATCGACTATAGTTATGCGACTCAACTTACCAGGCCAGCGAATGCCAAAGTCGCCTTTGAAGGACTTAAACAACAGCAACGCGGCGTAGATTCACAGATTAACACTCTGGGAAAGAAGAAGAGCAGATCAGGCAACAACATCTCTCTTCTGTACCATCAAAGTTGAAGAAACTGAGTCACTATCTGGTTATTTCAGAAAAAAGAGTCACGCAAAACGTTTTAAGAGCATTAAGAAGGTTTGTGATGGTGGTCTTCACGTGACCTACCCTTCATCGCGCTGTAAACCCTTTAACTCCCAGAAGTGATTAACATGTAACTTCTCTCTATATAATATCCATACGTTATTCAGCAGACAGGAAACGAGAATACTCAAACTTATCTGATGGGAGTTGTTATCCTGACCTAACACCACATTCTCGTAACTAATTTACAAGGAAATGTGTACCAGCTACAAGGGAGAATAAACTATCAGATCTTCGGAGTTAAAGAGTTAATTAATTTGGTCAACCCACACTTGTCTCATAACATACTCACACTTCGGTCATCTACATGTTCACTTATGACCCTTCATGAACCTAAATAAGCATTTAAACTGACCCAGTAAACGACCGATCACAGGTTACCTCTCTCAGAAACTAAAATGAGACTTACTTTTGAGGCTCGGAGGGTTCATTGGTGTTCCAGAAACATACAATGCCCTTCTCCTGAATACTGGGTTGAGCCTACAATGAAAGATATTTATAATTGGAATAGAACAATTGCAATCAATCTGAGCCGTAGACTGACTTTTTAGAGGAATTTTTCGATGGTCTTATTAAACGTCATCAGGGTTAAAGGATGTTCATTGTGAGTTCGATCGATCGGATTTGAGGATGGATATGAACACCACTCTAGGATTAAAAATAAACTTGGTTTGAATTTATCCCGCATAAAAGCATGTATAATGGCTGAGGTTTCGTGAATTATTGTTTTAACTGAAAGCGAAACAGGTGGAAACAAAAAAGGGGCAAAGCTATTGGCAAAGCTATTGGCAAAGCTATTGGTAAAGCTATGAATTTAAGTTATATATTTACACAAACTTAACGTTGGAATAATCTTTTTTTCGTCGTCCTGTTATCGTATCACTCCTATGTTTGCTTGAAGTATGGTCTGCCCGTTTTGTTTGAGCAGGCCGTGTTCAATTTTGAGAAAGTTCGTCACGTATTTACTTTTGTCGACCACTTTATTCTCTATTATCCTACTTATAGAGTAAGAACGTTTTGAAGATATACAGTGCAAGACTCACCTTTGAAGCAGTCTTTCCCTGCTCTTTCACGGCACCATAAGCAGTAAGCAAGAAGTATGTTTGAACTGGAGATATGTGGACACATGTAACTTGCCGTCCTAGTACGTCAACAACAATCGCCTTTTAAGTTAGTTTTTATTGATGTTTTCAGTAAAACTTGCTTCACTGCAGTGGTGCAGTTCTCATTTGCGTTTATAGAGGACCCAAAAAAGGAGTCAGAAGATGTTCAGTCTCTATTTAATGCTTTTACCCTTGTTGGAAGAGTCATTCGCGTATAATGATCGTACAGATGAAGGAAGTCCTAGCCTGACTATCGGCAACACTCGGTTGTTGACAGTGATTGACGTTTCGACAACCTGAGAAGGTGTCGTCTGCAGGGTCAAAAGGATTTTTACTTCTACTGTTAAATTGTGTACTTAGTATTGAGAGGTCAGCGGTCGAGTTTGTGTTGTCAGCGTGTTTACTGCTCAGTAATGCTCAATATCTCTTAAGACTTGCTCAGCTAGTCAAAACTTCAGTAACGCTCACTTACAACCCGCAAGATATTCCTGGAGAGGGCCAAAACGTACCCCACTAATTTTGATAGTTCACAAACCTTCAAGATAGGAGTGTTTAGTAGCGAGTTGAATGAATCCATCACTACACGTCATGTCTTTTCTGTCTTTAAACTGAGTATTTGTCTGCTCGCTAACGTTCTCTTCCAATATAATCAAACAAGTCTGCAAGACAACATAAAGGATGTCCTTGAAATAACTGGCACCCTTACAATGTGTGTTGCTCCAAATTAAGAAGAGATGTACTGGATAATGATATGTTGTTACGACTATTAGTCTCTAGTTATATTTCAGTAAGTATCAGGAGGTGGGTTGTGAAACATTTTCAGTTTTTACTGAACGTCCGTTTGCTATCGTTGTCGCTTTCGTTGCCATAACTACTGTTGCAGTCATTGTTGTTATAGTCGTTACGTTACTTGTATGTCGTTGTTTTAAGTTTTGAAGTATGTTTAAAAGAAGAAAAGTTAAAAGAAACATCAGTTAACCTGAGCAGCCCGTTGAAGAAATTTTGACAATCTTAAGCTGTCGATGTTGGCCTTTTCTGCTAAGGTGGATAAATCTTTTTCTTGATCGTCTTCCTCGTCTGAAATGGAGTGCGGAGAACAACCAGAACACAATGAGGAAAAGTAGCTGTTAGAATTTCTTGCGGAGGGGGGGGAAAGCTTGAGGGGGTTAGAGATACCAGTAAGCAGTAAGAGGTGTGTAAGTTTACAAATCTATAATATCACCACGGGTGATCACATGTGCTGACAGTTCCTCTTGACCCGCATCACAAGCGTAAAATTTGGCTTCTTGGTTTTAGGGACCCTTTCCAACATATTTTAGCGCTTTTCGATTGAGTGTCGTAAAACCAAAACCAAAAACCAAAGTAATTTAAACAGCCAATCAGAAGAAAGGAAAATACTCTGAAGAACCAATGAGAACTCAAAGTAAAAACAAGCAAACTGCCTAAAGCGCGGGAAAACGCGGGCGACTAAGCTGTGATTGGTGTTAGTTTTGCATCTGATTGGTTGAGAGAGTGGCGCGAGTTTCTAGACCAATCATGAAGCGATTTAAGTAAAACCAATGCCATCCCGGATTGAAAATGACTCTGCCAGCAAAACAGGTAGCTGTTGTATCAACCTCGTTTCCATCGTCAATCAAGCCTTTGGACTGACAAATACGCATCCTCGTCCATTCTCTCTGTCTAGTATTCAGTCACACATTGCAGTTTCGTCGTTTCTTTATATAGCACCACAGATATAAGGGCTGACTCACCTCCAAATCCAGCAGCATCGCTCGCTGGATTTTGCGTCCACTTTGTTCTTGTCTCGATGTCTTCAGTCTGAACTTCTTTTTCAACATTATCTTCATTGTACTGGACATACGCCTACGAAACACAACCAAGACACTTGGTAGAGGTAAGGTGGATAAGCGTTTTTTTTTTTCCCTTAAACCAACAGAAAGCTACAACAATGGTAAACTGTTTATATCTTTACCTGTTTAGTGTCAGATCTTCCAAAGTTTTTTATGTACAGCTCATATTCGTTAAGAGGTGGCAACTCAAAAATATCAAAAACTGCAACATCGAGGTCGATCAAGTGCATCAACTCCTAAAAACGAAAAAAAATCAGGTATTCTTTGTGAGCAACGTTACAGTTTGTGCGAATTGAAAAGCTAATCCTACGTCTCTGTGGCTCAGTAATAGAGCATCAGAACGCGGAATCAGAAGGTCTGAGGTTCGATTCCTCACGGGGACTCGGAATTTATTCTTTGTCCCACGCTCCGTGACAAGACGAAAAATATATATCTCTAATTCTACATAAGTTTCTCATTTGCAATCAACCTCCATCTTCTCTATCCTGAGCCCTCCTTCTCTTTTCTTGTTTTGTCACTGCCTCGTTTGTGTTATCCTTTATCAGTGAACTTATATTTTGTCGTCAACTTCGAGTTAAAGGAAGGTGTGAAACGCGTAAAATATGACAAATTATTTCAGGTCATATAGTACCATATTATGCCATATACACCATCTTATTTACATAGATGATGGCTAACACTTATGATCTATAAGAAACACTGTTTATCAGTCCTGTTGATTCACACCTTTGTTCTAAGATCAAAGTATAAACACATAAAAAAACTCAGAGTTGTTTCCATTACCTGTCCTCTTTTTCTTGTCCGTGAAGCAACTTGATTAGTGATTTGTTTCTGTTTGGCAGCAACAAAGTTTATCCTTCCATGGCTGGCAGTGGTGGCAGGGACTTTTTCTGAGAAAATTTACGACGCAGGGAAACTTTAAAACTTTATCTTTTCATTTATCGGTTGTACTTTCCCATTCTTAGATAACGTGTCTGGATATGAAAGCCAACAACGGTGCCGCAATATCTAGCATGAATTACGGGGAACGAATTTTCAGGAGAGGCGAACTTTCTATTGCAATTTCGGAACACCTCAAAGATCCAAACAATAGCCGCCTCAAAAATTTGCGGAGATGTCGCAGAAATTTCTTTTCGGGGAAAATTTCTTCAAAAAGCCAAGAAAAGCGTCAAAATTCATGGACAGACCTTTGTATTACTTTTGCACAGTACTCTAAGATCTCTAAAATCTCCCTCTACGTACAAAATCTCTTTTGTCTAACTTCACTCACTGAAACTTAAAAAATTAGTGAAGCGTTCATATTGCTCAGTTAGTTTAACATGATCGGAATGTAGGCTTTCCAAACAAGGTCAAGATCTGATAATAACTAGTTCAGAGCTACGATTTTCCACCAACATGAGAGCTACTCATCATGACTGTTATTTTTTATTGTTTGTTTAATAACCAAAATAATAATAGTAATTAGAACTCACCTCTATTTATTGGTTCTGGGTGTTCCTGAAAGAAATATGAATGGCTTAATAACAGTAAAAGGAATAAAAAAACAAGCAAACTTTTCTAATTTTTCTCCGTTTATACATTAATGACAACGAATTCAAAACTCTGCTTTCTTTTACCAGTTGTGAACGAATATTTTACCGTCCTGGATGGTAAAGGTCCATAAATCATACAAAACGTAAAGATTGCACCAGAATAAAAACAAGGAAATGTTATCTCTTACCGTCTCCACTTACATCTGAAAACATTTTACAACAGGAAATACTCTGCTACTGAGGAGTCACCCAGGCTGGCAAATTACTTCACCAAATGTAACCCTTCCCCCCCCCTACCCTCCCTGTATTTCGTTTGGCTTCCCCAACAGCTTGCCTGTACCCATTTATACTCCTAGGCCCAGTTGTTTGAAGGCCGAATTTAGCGCTAATCAAGGGTTAAATTTATTCCAGATTTCTTTATGACTTTGTTAAAAAGCCTTTTGAGGATAACTTTCTCTCTTACTTTTAGGGCATCCAATAATCAAAGTCTAAAAAGAAATAATAATGCTTAATTTTTTTGTTAAAGCCTTCGAATTTAAAATCAAATTTCACACATCCGGACCTGGATGGAAAGAGGTGCAGTGAGAATAGCGTGGCTTCAGCCCGAGAACACAACACAAAGACATAACCTCCTGGGCTTGAACCCTGAGCCGTCAATCCAGAGTTCAGCACACTGACCACAAGACCACCACCTCTTCCACAAGATTCAAAAGACACCACCGCACAGAATAAAAACAAACCTTTCTCTCTTCTTTTCCCTCACTGGATGATGTCCTTGCATCCTGGTTCTCAGCGTGTATTGCCTGTAGAAGCTGCAACACCAGGTAAACATGGTTAGAACCAAAATCAGAAAAAAAGGAAGGAATGTTGTCGGTAGTACTGACTGTCACTACTAGTCACAGCTACTGCCGACCACAGTCCTTCTCCAGACTTCCTTAACCCGGACGATCAGACTACATTTTTAAATGTTACTCCACTCTTCAAACTACTTACTGTCTGAAAGTATACAAAAAAAGAGTGATTTAATGAAAAGTAAGACAGTGCGTAGTTATACCTTTGCCTAACATTGTTTTGGAAAATGCTTGATGATCATTGACAATAAAGGAATGTGATCATAGAGTAGTGTTCTATATTTATAAAAACAGAATGATTGCAAAAATTATCTACAGAAAAATCTTACCTCTTGCATTCGCGCATGATCCTGAAACAAAATAACAGAATCACTGTGTTACTAATAGTGAGACTACAAATTCCTCACAAACCACAGAAGGTCTGTGCAATTTGACAGCTGAGAGTTTCTTCTATCACATAAAGTAAATTACCAGTAGCTTTCAATTTTTTTTCAGAATGATGCAAAATGCTTAACATCACTAATCTCAAATTTAACCCTTTCACCCCCACAAGTGATCAAGACAGAATTTCTCCTTACGATATCAATACAATACCAGGCAAACAAGTGATGAGAATAGAGAAAAATATCAGTTAGGGAGTAAAAGTTGATCCAATGCCAAATCTTCCAAAGGAATCAAGTTTGGTAGAAATGGGGAAATGTAGTGCTGTACAGTAAATGAAGTGAACTTCAAATGCTGTCTCAGTAGTTATCCATAAAGAAATAGGGGAAGAGAAAGAGCAGGGAGGGGGCTTTGGCTGATAGGAAGGAATTCTTTTAAAAAAAAGGTTATTTACATGTATTCATAGGGAGTGCTAATTCAAGGATTCTACAGTAACTACTTTTTGTTGCCTACGATTACATCTTTACTTCGTGTACCTGCACATCCAGACTTGCTTCTTCATTGTCTTCCTCTTCATCTGCATCATCTTCAAAGTCATCATCATAATCCTTGACAAAGATCACCAATCTTATTATAATTTTAACCAAAAAAAAACTTTGAAAATAAAAATTCTTTGGAAAGCTATGCTCATTCAATAATTATGTATTCTCTCCTGTTAATTATCAGAAACAGTTCACTGGAACCATTATGTATTCATATCAATGTCTCTTTCTGAAAATATGGTTCAGGTTCTCCTGATGTTATCTTAACCTGCTTTCATCAACAGATGTCTTACTTTTAAAGTTTGATTTTAGGAACTTTTGCAAAATTGTAAAATAAAGGTAATCTACAGTAGACGATATTTATCTGAATACTGATACTCAAATTAAAGTTATGGATCTGCTACAGAAGAACCATGCTTACCTACTCTAACTTGATCAACATGAATTTTCCACATGTAGTGAAAACAGAGGTTCTAAATGTTACACAGCAATCTGTGTAACATCATAATTATAATCAACTTTGTAGTCCTTAATTTAATTCTTTGACTCTTGAGAGTGACTAGCATCTAATGTCTACAACATCACCCTTAAGTCACACATCCAGGTCACAAGAATAAAGGAAATGATTAACAAATGATTAACTGTTTAACAAATTCTCCTTGACAGCACCTCAGGAAATTTCTTGAGAACAGTATGGAGAATATGCACATTGATGCTAGTATGTAAAGGGTTCAACTGACTTTTGAAACGTGTCTTTCAAAATCAGACATGTTGTGCTTTTCTTAAAAATTACATATCACCTCATACCTCAAATTCATCATCATCATAGTCATATCCACCATTTTCTTCCTCATGGACTTCCTCAACTGTTCCACTGGAAGGCAATCTTTGCGAAGATGTCTTTCGTTGCTGTTCAACATCTTCATCTATGGTATCCTTGAGAGAGGGAAAATAAGCATCAAGACTTTAAGTTACTAAAACGATAATATCAACATTCACACATTTTAACTTATTCAGCATTGATCAGATATGTTTTCAATCATTTTCAATTAAAACTGATGCATGAGATCTTTACAAATAAGAAAATCAGACTATTAACTGTCTGCTGTTCAACCATTATGTTGCTGCACTGATATTTTGGTGGCATGCAAAAGTGACATGACAATGTGCCAACAAGATTACCAAGCATTGCATGTACATGCACATGTTGAAAAAACTGATTGGCTGAAGCCTTTAACTAAACAAAAATGCAAAGTAGAAAAATATTCCCAACTTTACAATGGTGGTACTCTTTGAATATCATAAATTCCCAATGCCTTCTGTGATCTTTCAAAGACCTCTTTGATGTTTTCCATCAACTTCAAAAGAATTTGAAAATGAAGGGGGAAACCATTTCTCTGTTTGTTCTCAAAAACAATGAGTTACAAATGGAAACAAGTTAGTAGAAATCAACTCTACAGTTGCTAAGTTGCTAACTCACTGCCTCTTCCATGGTATCTGATCTAAACTTCAGAGGATTCCTCTTCAGTTCCTGTTGATGGAAGAGAAACATTAAAAGCTAGTAGCTCACAGGTGTGGGGGTGGGGGGTGAGGGGGTGGGGGGGTGTGGAAAGAAGAGGGGTCAGGAGGTAAAAATTGCTTGCTTTTATAACCCTCATCAGATCCCAAATCCAGCACCATTTACTCCCACTTCTCTTCATTACAGAGCACTGCTCAATGAATGATTGCAATTGTGTGTGAACTTCTAAGTTTCTCACCCTTTCTACCCTACATAATAAAGTTTCCACTTCCCATCCTTTTGTTCCACAACTCTGAGCCTCATTGTCCCCTTATTCCATTTTAAGTAAGAAAAAAAAATAGTCATTCTACATCATTGAAAAAAAAAAGGAAAACTCTCAGAGAAACGAAAAAAAAAAAGGATTTTTGTTGAGTTTGTGATCTTTTAGCTAAAGAAATGGCCTCCCTGTAAAGGTGTTCGGTTGATTTCTTTAGTTGGTGAGAAAATACATGCATTATGAAACTTAACCCTTTAACTCCCATTAGTGACCAAGACAGAATTTCTCCTTACATTATCAATGCAATATCAACCAGATAAGTGATGAGAATAAAGAAAAATATCAATTGGGGATAATCAGTTGATCCAATACTAAATTCTCTAAGCTAACATTACAAGAATTGTATAGTTGACAGTAAGGAGAATTACAAATTAGATCTGGGAGCTAAAGGGTTAACAAAAATACCTCTTCCTTTTTTAATGCTTCAATCATTTCTTTTTCTCTTCTCTTAATTTTGTCCTCTTTTTCTCTACTACTAGATTCCTAAGAAAATAAGAGTCAAAAAAGCATTTTAGAAAGGTTGAATATTACTAATTTGCTGTTAAATAGAGGGAACAAGGAACCAATTTGCTTACTACTCAATGAAAAAACAAATAAAAGTAATGATTTCCTCCAAAGTTCCCAAGGGCTTTATAGACTACTTATTCACTCACCTCATTCTTTGACCGTTCCTTTCTTCTATCAAGATCTCTGCTTTCCTTTTCCCATCTGTCACTTCTCTTCCTTTCATCCTTATCAGAATCTCTATTTTCTTTATCCAGCCTGTCTCTTTCCTTTTCTCTTCGTCGTTCCCTGTCTTTTTCCCGATCTTTGTCATCTCTCCTCCTGTCTCTGCTTCTATCCCTATCTCTGCTTCTTTCTGTTCTATCCACTTCACCCCTCCCTTCCTTTTGCTTTTCTCTTCTTCGATCCCTCTCTTTATCCTCATAACTTCTCTCTTTCGTCCTTTCCCGGTCACGTTCACCATGTCGTTCCCTGCTGTCACGTTTCCTCTCTTCATCTTTAGTCTTCTCAAATACCGTATCTCTTTCTCTTCTTCTTTCCCTATCATGATCTCTATCAACACTTTCCTTTTCTTTTCGCATCTCCCTACTTCTGTCATGTTCTTTAGATCTCCTATCTTTTGACCTATCAGCATGTCCACCTCTTTCCTCAGTTCGTCTTTCTCCACCTTTCAACCTGTCTTTATCTTTGTCATAATCTTCTCCTTTGTCCCTTGATCTTTCTTTATCCCTGCCCTCGTCTCTTTTTCTCCTTTCTCTATCCCCTTCTCTTTCCCGATCCCTGTCTTTGGTGCGATCTCTTTCTTTTTCACGCTCCCTGTCCCTCTCCCGACCCCTGTCTTTTTCTCTGTCTTTATCTCTGTCCCTTTCCTTGTCTCTTTCTCGTTCTTTACCTCTATCATGACCTCTCTCTTTTTCTCGGTCTTTGTCTCTTCCTCTGTCTCTATCCCTGTCCCTATCTGTTTTCCTGTGGTCCCCATTGGCTAGCTCATCATGACCTCTTCGCTTCCTATCATCATCCTTATCCTATCAAGGAAGCGATGTTGTTTCAATATCAGCTTACAATATACCAAGGCTAGCTCATCATGACCTCTTTACTTCCTATAGTCATCCTAATCTTATCGAGTTTCAATACCAAATTACAACATACTGCACATGTACCAAACTGTCTCATAACAAGATCTGGTATCAACGATGTATTTAATCAAATAAATACTTGAAACTTCAATATTCATGTATTACACAATAAAATCAGTTGAGACTATATGACACTACAATCTTGAGCTATTTAAAAGTTGCCAACTAAGACCAATTTACATGGCATCCCAGCTAAGCTAGACCTCTGTGTTGAGATTACAAAGTGAAAGATTTTAATTCTGTCAAATATTTTCAGGCTTCAATTTGTATTTTACTTTTTCCAGATAGGTGTTAAATATAAAAGAGTCACTATGTTTTACATTCAAATTTCACTGACAAAAACTACATTTACATGGCTAATGTACCTTTCGCTCCCTTTTGTCTTCAGACCTACGACTTGAGGAGCTCTCTTTGGATTTTCTGCTTTCATCTTTGGACTTTCCTCTGTCATCCTAAACAATGAAATCATTTTTTAAAAATCATAGAACATAGGAAACTTTTAAAAATTAAAAGGATGTTTACAAAATATACCAACTTTTAACCCATCTTATTTTGAATATAACTGATGACTGGCCTTGAAATCAAAACTTGATTGATAATTGGAGCTCAGTTCACATGGAGATACATGTATGTACTGTTTACATTTGAATAACCTCTTTATTCCACCAAAATTAACATTATCAAACTTTGATGCCCTGTGAAGTCTTCCTTCTGTAGAATTGTGTTCTCCAGAAAATTATAATTTCAAAGGATACCATGGCAATGATGGTTAAAGATTTCAGATCCCCCAGAGTTGAAATTTTGTTATGTGTAAAATTGATATATTTGATCACTATGAAAAGGAGTCAATTTAAAAGCCTAGTCACTAATACTCCTGGAGGTCATCCATGTTTGTACGACATTAACCCTAACATCAGAATGTATACTCTCCACACTGTTCTCTACAAATTTCCTAGGGTGCTGACAAGGAGAATTTGTTTACCAATCAAAAATTTGTTTTCATGAATGGCAATCAATTTCCTCTGTTCTTGTGAACTTAGTGTGTGATTCAGAGGTGATATTGTAAGGAGAACTTAGATGCTAATCAAGCTTTAGGTTCAAAGGGTTAAATAATTAGAAGTATTAGTACTTCCCCTCCACCCCTCCACTGGATGCCAGTCCTTCATTGGTTCTCCCTCCCCCCCCATGCATTTCATCAAGTTTCCCTTGCAGTTTCTTGCTACCCATTTATGCTCTTGTACAGAGTAAAGCACAATAACAGTTAACCTTTTAACTCCCAAATCAAATTTTTAATTTTACTTACTGTCAACCGTACAATTCTTATAATGTTAGTTCAGAGAATTCAGTATTGGATCAACTAATTATCCCCAAATTGGCATTTTTCTTTATTCTCATCACTTACATGGTTGATATTATAAGGATATTCTGTCTTGGTCACTCATGGGAGTTAAAGGGTTAAGTGTCTACCCAAGCACAAAGCATTTCTAACCCAGCACCTTCTAAAATCCCAAACCTGGACCTCTTAACCCAGAGTCCAGTAAATAACTATGACAGGGCCCAGTTGTTCAAAGGGCAGTCAACCCTATCCAACAGATAAATCAGAATCCAGTGAATAAGTATTCGCAAAACATACTTCCCTATCTATAGTGGATAGGGTTTATCCACCTCTTGAATATGTGGAACCAGTCCATTAAGTATGAAAATAAGTGACTATCCATTCCAAATTTTAAGGGTTTTCAATTGTTGCATACTATTCATTCAAAATATTAAAACAAAAACCATAAATACATTCCTGACCTTCAAGGCTTTCTTTAAATCTGATTCTTTCCATGTATCTTCTTTGCTACGATCCTGCAAGATAAGACTCACACCGTTAGACTAGATTTGGACTCCTTTGCATTTAGTCCAAAATCTGACAATCTGAAAAATTCAGCAGAACAACTTAATTCTTACTTCACTTACCTTATCAAAGATCACATTGGGGAAATAACATCAGTATTGCAAGGTTTAAATTTTACATCATCAAATAGCATATAGATTACTCAAAGGTATTAATTAGAATTCTTTCAATAGCCTTGCTTAGAACTTCTTTCTCTCCAAAAAAATACATCTAAGATGTTTTGGGTGTATATCTTGAGGTAGTTGCAGATATTTAAAGATGTAAACTTTCACAGACCTGCAGACAACATCATGCTTAAAATTCTTACAAACCCAAATACGTAGAAATTAAAGTTTACTTTACTTACTTTGTTGAATTTAAGGAGATGAACAAACTGTTTAATTAATTTTAAAAAATTAATCGTTCACAAAATTATATTTTATAGAATGAGAATTTCTAACCGTGAAAGCCTGAAGCTTTGGTAATAGAGTAATAAAACTGAATCTGCTTCGTGACCAAAAAATTGTTTAGCTCTTAAATCCCCAAAATGTATGAACAGCTTGGATAATTTTTTTTGAAAAAGATCGCAAGGGCTCTAGAATACGCTAGGACTTGGAAAAAGAGAAAGAGGTTAGTTCACGGTCCTATACGGAAACGGTATATGGCTAGGGAAATAATCATCTTGACAGACCATATCTTCAGGTTTGATCGAGGGAAAGCATTACCCGGCTTTAGTTAAGCTTGATATGACAACTGGAAAATAAATAATATTGCAACTCTGTTTAAATCGTAGCAACGAAGACAGGTAAACTGTGCAGAAACTATGAGAATTATTACCTTCCCAGATGGCATTCTTTGATCATCTCTGGCTGTCTTGACACAAAAATCGAAGAACCCCCTTGAAACGATGAAAACGTCAGTCGAAATTTGCTATTCAGACTCCATAGTTACTAAGTACACTTTCCACCATTACTGTTTTAGAAATTTATATCCGGGACATTGAAAGACAGAACTCATGTCCAGGTTTTTTCGGTGTTTCCCCGGGAAATTTGACTTTGCCGCAATTTCTTCGAGTTTCGGGTAATCAGGCATAAGGTATCTTGAGGTATTTTCGAATCGCGGTTGAAAAATATTTCAATGTGAGATGTTCGTTATTAAATGTTTATTATTCATTAAAATCATTCAGGGTCTAGAGGTGTATCAAGGGGAAGTGGTCGGGTATCCTACGATCTGCCTACCCTCCCCCCCGCTTATTGGGGACTGATCTTCGCACCCATCCGGATTAGCCGGCGAAAAGATTCGATTCAAGCGACTTCCTTGATAGATATAAAATCAAAAACAATGATTATACGCGAGGAAAGCATCGATGGATTGCCCATTTGGGTAGTGTGTACTGTACGCCCTTAAAGATTGTACTAATAAAAGTAGTATTATGTTACTAGCATTGCCCCTTTTTTTTCCAAATTATGCTCAAAATTATGCTCGTTTTTGAAAAGTATGCTACTCTTCTCGCTGAGGAGGGAATCCAACTAGGAGATAAAATAATCAACGATTATGCCTTTTGCTCCAACTCAATTCTCTCCGCGCGTTTCACTGGTAACTATGAGCACCTTGGAAGATCTCATGTTTTCAGTGCTATCCGTGAACTGAACTTCGTTGAAGTTCAAAACATCAAGATAATGTTTTTTTCTACATGGAAAATCTGCCAGACCTTCGATCCACTAATAAGCTGTTCCTTGAGATGTCTTTCAACCCCCGACCCCGACCCCGACCCCCACCCCCCCCCCTTATTTTGAGGGGGTTGGAAAGAGGCGCATTGCTAGATTCCAACGAACAGCTGCGGAGGAAGCTTTTGCTCCTGTGAACGCTAGGGGAAATCTTAAGTCGACCTCGTCCTCAGGCCCTTCGGTTCTAAGAAATCCCATACTGCATTGGTTCTTCTAAGGGAATTGTGAGAAATACTACTTTTAAGGGAATTGTGGGAAATACTAAATTAAACATCTGAAGCCTCGTTTTGAGTCAGAATTATGATGAAGTTACATCATTTACATACGTGATACCGGAAAGCCTATTCAGTGGAACTATTGTAAAACCTATTATATCGGTTACACGGAAGAGATAAAGACATGACCATGCCAAGACCCATGGAATGCGTAACTCCTTCAAAACACTGGGTTTACAGCAAGAATACGGAAAACGAAAGCTTTAGATCAATAGTTTGAGTCTATCTCTGCTGTCTACTTTATTTTCCCTGTTTATGTAAAATATTAAAAACCATGGATGTGATGTTTTATTTATAGCCGTTAGTCATTTGCGAAAAAACTTGAATTCTGTGGAGTGAAAGGTGTTTCTCAGTTCATTCTGGAAGAGAATTTTCAATTCAACGGATCGAAAGTTTGTTGACCCAAGGTCTTATTTCAAAAAATAAACGAACCCTACGCATTTGTCAAAAGTTTCGGGCTGGTGGTTTTGCTTTGTGTTACCAGTCAAAACCTGTTCGCTTTGCTTTGTTTCCACTATTTTGACCTTCTTGGTAGATCACCGCCACGTAATCTATAATCTTCCTCTTACAATATCCTGCTTTATACTTAAATTAGCTGAAATTCCACACAAGAAGTCTACGATTGATAAGAACTTCTACAACATCCCATCAGCGGCGAAAAATGTGGACAGCATTAGGGTAGGTTTCTCGTACTTGGTTTCAACGCTTCTAAGTTACGTTCCACTACCTAGTGTAGTTTACAAATAAGCTTGATAAAGCACTAAGTAAACTGATCATTTCTCTTGTAGTTTGTACGCTTTTGGGCCAAGTTACAAAGATCTTAGGGAATATAAAAAATTACAAAGGTAAGTTGGATGTGTTATGTACAGAGAGGAATGGATTATTTGAAAAAAGATCATGTGATTTACGCATGAGGAGTTCTTAGCTCTCGCCAATTACGATTCCATTTACGGTCTGGCTAAGTTGAAACTTATTTCAGTTTAAGGCAATGTCCATCCACTTTAACAAAAGTGTAGAATTTAAAACAAATTGTTGTCAGGTTTGCCAACAATGTTCGCGACATGATTATGAACACAGCATTTCGTATTATTTACAGTTCAAGGAGATTTGCTTCTTCCTAAGAAAGCGTTAAATTAATCTTTACGGCTAATCTGAAATTTTAACCTATCAGGTTTTCTTTCTCAAAAAATAAAGCGTACTTCTGATTAGAATGGATTTAAAACTAGTCTTTGCAGTCTTAAAAGTAATGCTTTATACTCGACGAAAAGGTAAAAAATTGTGTTTGCAAAAGAGTTACCGAAACAATAAATTAGCATTAGAAACTCTTTACGGTGGCCAATTTACAATAACAACTCAGTTGATAAAAACCAGTTTATCCAAAAAATTTATTATTACGGAAAAAAACGTGTACTTTTTCGCAGATATGGTTCTTCACTCCATTTTAGCAAAACATCATGGTCATGAGTAATCTTAAGTAATCTAAAGGTGCAATATATATAGCAACACCTCCACAGCGTAAGGTACGTTGCTGAGTTGACCCACTCTTCGGTACCACTCGTATGATCCTCGGATTTTCCTCGGAAATGAAAATGAATTTGTTTCCGGCTTTTGCGCTGCTTCTGAACAGTGATCAAATTTTGATATCCTAGTGAAAGTGATAGTTATAAAATACCTTTTCCGGTTATTTGTAAAAAAGCTTGTTGTTTGGATTAATGGAGGCTAAACATCGTACACTATTTTAAACTAGAGCCGTATTTAACAGACTTTTCTAAACTGGCGCTAACAATCGTCAAAATTTATTCAACTCATGCGAATCGATATATTGCAAATAGACATAAATCCAGACAGAGAATATTGCGTTTTCGATATTTCGGAATCTTTTTTTTTCCCTTTTTTTTCAACCATAACCCAAGATAGTCAAAGGTCGCGCCAAAACCTGCCCGTGATGCATGCTTTTTCTACGTAGTTTCGACGCTAATTTTAGGAATGAGAGATGCAGTTGGGAGGTTGGAGTTAACCGCAACGTGAAGAAGGTTGTATTTTCAATTCGCACGATTCCTACGACGACGGCAGTTCAACGGTACTAAACCAAAGTACTTCGAAGAAAAACATATTCGTAACTGCGCTATATTGGTTGGTCGCAAACAATTCATACTTTTTCCCATATTTTCAGGGCTTTGTCACTTATTTTATACACTGGAGAGTTAACAACAGTAATTTACATATTCAATGTGCCAGTTAGCAGCACCTGCTAAAGTTTGTATACCGGTCGAGTGGTGCACCGAATACGTAAATTCACCGTCACTAGCACAACGGTTACCAAACGGTACAAGTTTTACATTTCTACCGACAAAAAAAAAGTAAGGTATTGATTTATTTTACAGCCTTATTGTGTTGGGTAATTTTTTCGTCGGTAAAGTATCAATCATCGGAAAAAATGAAACGTAATGCGGGTAACTGAGCAACTTTGAAATCGCAAGAATTAAAAATCATCTTTGTTTAGACATTGAACACTGAACACTGAACACAGAACACTGAACGTCCCTTTAAGCTAAACTCAAAATTTCGTTGAAATACCGGTAACTCTTCCTTTAGCAAATGAACTTTCAACTATAAATAGTGAAAGGATATTGTTATTAGTACGGATCTTAATCACAGAGCATTCAGCTTTATCATTATTCAAAACCTGTCGCGGTCTGAAAACCTCACATTGCACATATGACTGATATGAAATACTACTCCTGGGATTAACTAGCGGCTGGTAATTTGATAATTGGAAGACATTTGTTGCTTGTTTTTCGCCTCTTAACATATCCAAAAAGCCTACTAATAACTACGTTAAACGTCAGTAAAATTACACTCGCTGTACATACTCTATATCATAAAATGTACATTCATGTGTTACATCGGCTGCGTATGAGCATGTACTTTCAGTTCGAGGAAATTTTAACCGCTGCTGCGTATTGATATTTCTACTTATTCACTGCAAGGTTCAAAATTGTAATTTCTGTTTCTCGAGAAGGAATATTTTTTATCAATGTGCCATTTTGCAATTTTTCATATATTTATGCAGACTTTTTCAATGCTTCAAATATTTGGGAATAGATTAAGGACAGTCTCCTAAGATCGTAGTTTAATTTCGGTACAACTGGTTTCCAGTGACTATACGCATCGCTTTCAAATGCAAAATCGCCAACGGGAACTGTAGCCAACAACATAGAGGTCAGCCGCACACCTTCACTAAAGAAGCACAAATCATAAGCAGGGTTTTACCTTATCTTCCTGTCCTGTATATCCTTTCAAAGTAAAGTTACAAGTACGAATTCGAATCCACTGCCTCGTGTCATCAATGCTGAAATTTTCGCAGCATATTCAGTATATGAGGAAAAATTATGATAAATTCATCATGCAAAGAAGGATTTTGGTACTCTTAAGTCTTGTTTTTTTCTCTTTTTACTCAGATACCGAAAAACGAAAGGCGATAGAGCAGTTTTTATTCCAGAGGAAGCATTTGCTGTCGATGAAGAATACCTTCCTTATCTTGATGAGGTCAGAATCCAAGAGCAACCTCAGAACCTTCAAGATGGCTCTTCTGTTTCGTATGAATCAGAAGGTATCAAGTTTAAGTATTCCATGGGAGGAAATATCAAGTTCTACGATGACCACATCGCTCTAACAAGTCCAAGAAAAAAGGTGAAAAGTGGCAAGTATTCTTACCAAATTCTGAACGATACTATGGAAAGTTCTTTGAACGACTCGCCAGCGCGGAGCGCGCTATCCGCAAATTTTGGCACCATGGATATGACACCGAGGATTTTGAGTACACCGGTGAAAAGCACCTTAGAAGTTGACGAGAAAAACTCTCAGGGTAGGACAGAGACAGCGGTTAAAAGTAAGCCGGAAAATGGAAACATAAATTCTAACTTGCAAATTCACGCGGTTTTGGAACGATTAAGGGTGGCAGATGATGAAACAACTCAGCTGTCTAAAAGTAACCCAACATCTTCGAGTATTGCCGATAGTATAGCAAAGGTTGACTCGTGGAAAACGGATTTTAACAATTGTAACAGTCCTTCGCATAACGTCGAAGAGATGATTTCGGGGGAGACTGTCTTTCGGCAGGAAAACTCGTCGTCTGGAAATGGCGCGAGGGTACGAGATTACTCTCCTATTCGGACCACACCAGCAAACGAAAATCTGACAAAATTAAAAGATGAGGTAACACCCAATATTGAGGCTAGAATTGAAAATTACCCAACTAGGACGTCTGAGGAGAAGATTATTTGCGAACCAGAAGTTACGGAGGTTAACGTGAGCTCAAGAAATGAAACTGGAAATAAGAATTTTGACGCGAAAAGAGGAGAAATGCAGGATCCTGAAAGAATGAACCGATATAATCGGACATTACTCTATGTTAATGAGCAAAATGAGACATTGCATAATGGAGACTACAACGAATTAAACATTGATATGTCAGATTTGAGTTCAGACGTGTTTACAGACAGCGAAATACCCACATCCGGGTTCTTATCGCAATCACGTGATGGAAAGAGTGACTTGGATTTTTACCCAGACTCCCCGACAACAGAACAAGCTTTCTCAAAGACTCCTTGTAGCTCCAGAAAAAACAGCTTGGATTCATACATAACTGACGACAGCATGTCCGCTACCGAAATGGACCAAAGAATGGGAGTGAAGAAAAGTAAGCTAAATCTAATGAAAAATAAGGGATAAGATAAGTGCCACAAAATCCTTCAAAACAATCGAAACTCGCATAATGGTAACTGTACACTAGCGAAACTGATATTTGTATATTTGAGCGTGTAATAATTGCTGTCTCACTCGATCACTGTTTTCCAAAATACACTGGCTCGTTCTCGAATATCTTAATGAACATGAGAGAATGACGGAATAAGTTAATCAAATAATTATATTGTAATTCTCTCTAGTACGATTTCGATCAGATTACGTGGCCTCCAAAACAACTGAGATAGAAAAAAAACCAAATACAGGCTGCATCGCCTAATGAGAGAATGAAAAGGGAAACGCCGACTATCAATATTTTTTTGTTCACAGATATGCATCAGTTGGTTTCAAATGGGGAAGTACATTCAAATTCATTCATAAAACAAAACGGCAGAGCAAAACAGGTAAGGTGAAGATTTTCAAGAATTTTTTTTTTCATGCAGGTAATACTCAAACAACTTAATGGAAATTTTTCTATCAACCAAAGTAATCCTGCATTGTCTTCAAAGCTGCATTAAAAAAAATTCTATCACCTGGTTGGTTGCATTTAACAAACACAAGGCGTCGCCTGCTTAAAACAGATTACCAACTAATGCTAATAATTGTTGCCAAGCAATTACAAAGAGAGAAAAACCCTAGTTCTCTGCGTATTTCGATGCCAGTTCTTCGTTGTCTTTTATACTCGATATTACACTCGCTGCTGCCTTAATTATAGATCTTTCCTGGCTGGTGTTGCCTTGTTTGGTTTTCCTCAATTTTTTTTAATAGTATTAGTCTGAGATAAGTTCCCCTACCCCGGCCTCTTTTTTCCAATCGTTAGAAGATATAAATAAATGTAAGTATGTCAAAAAAAAAACCACTCGCATTGTGCTTGCCTAATCTTTTTAATCTGCTGAAACGCTTTGGGATAAACTTAAGAGTCTTATGTGGTGCCATTCAGTTATTCTTTGTTACTACTGTTCATTAACTTCTTTTCGTGCGCAATATTTTCCAGCAACAAGGTGTAAGAATTAAAGCATCGGACGTGAAATCCCAACAACTGAAATCTAAACAAGGTGAGCATTTAGCTAGGAAATACTTGTCATGATTTCAATTTATCTATTCATTCATTTATTTATTTATCTGTTATTTTCATTTTGTTCGCAATCTCTCTCAGGAGCGAAGACAATCGAATCGAAGAAAATGGATTTTAACAAGAAAGCGAAGTCTAAAGTAAATTCGTTCAGCAATATTGGACACGTACCGGGAGGGGGGCGAGTGAAGGTAATTGTTGGGTCTCGAAGGAGTTAACTATTGGCCGTACAACGGCCAACCATTTTTTTTGCCATGTCTGTATTCTGGTTTGTGCCGTTTTCCATACTGAGCATCTTTCGCGTAAATTGAATAAGATTCAAAGTTGTGCGCCTTTCGACGATAGCTCTCGCCATATTGATGTTTACTTTGGGTGGGAAGCATACATAATTAGTTTTTGTTTCTTGAATCGCGTGCAACTTTCTTTACGAGAAGCCATATGTCATAAATCAACTTATTTACCCGACTAACATCTTTTCTTTCCTCCTATTTTAGATTCAGCAAAGTAAATTGGGTCAGCGGCTTAAACGGGTAGAACCCAGAACGGACACCCATGGGGTTGAGGCATACAGTAACTTACCCTCCGAATTTCAAGAAATTGCTAAACGCCTCGCTAAACAGGATAAACAGCTTCGAAATTCTAAAATTGCCGGCAACAGTTCAAATGGCAGAAGCCGACCTCGCTCGCGAAGATCGAGCCGCGGCTCCAGTCGAGCAGGAAGCGTTAGTCCCGATCGAAGATCAACTTCCAAACCAAACTTCAGGTTGGGAAATCTTTCAGGTTCGTCGTTCAATCTCAACACTTCTACCACAAGCCTTGGGCATAGCTCACCAAACAAAGCTTCCAGACGACCCGTAGTAAACAGGTCACCCAGCATTCGATCCAGGCCAACAACACCAAGCTTGAGTCGGTCACATCCAGCTACTTATGTCACACCGTACGATTCCCGGTCACGGCCTTCTTCCAGACCTTCCTCCCGTCCGAACTCACGCCCAACGTCTCCCGTTTCGCGGTCAAGAAACGCGTCACCTACGAGTGGTGGGCGCTCACGAGGATCGTCGCCCGTTCCGAACAGTCGAATATCATCGACGCTAAGCCGAAACTCACCGAGCGTTAAGCGGTCAAAGAAAAAGATGGCAAACGGAATGGGGGGAAGATCTATGAATCTGAACGCGCTGACGAGCGTGGAAATCGGCCTTGGTGAGTATTGGTATCAGGCAAAGATAACTGGATCCATGTTGTCACCGAAACGTGATCCAAATCATACACTAACCTAAAAGAAAAAGGGACATGTTTTCATGATAAACGTGTCTAATACTTTCTGTTTTTGTTTCTTTTTATTTCTCCAGCATCTGGATCAGTATTTCAAGTGATTCCAGTTCATAAGTAACGCGGAACATTGAGAGAAGCTTAGTTTGCATCACCCTATACAATTGTCATTGACTTCTCCAAAGCATCTCGTGAAGCCATCGCAAACAGCTGAATGTGTTATATAAACTGCAAGTGCGTTCGCGCATGCTTTCTTAGTCACAGAATGGTTTCTATTGTTGTCTTTAATAGCTGCTGGTCAGCTACAAATTATATCCTGAGCTGAGCAGGTCATGTCGTTCGTTTTTGACGTTATCTGTATTGGGTTTGATTTGCCACAGCCGATGTTTGTTTAGCTTCCTATGGAAAAGCAAAGAGAAGAATTTGAAATAATGAAAATATATCTATATGATAAGGAAAATAAAAGTGACAACGTAAATAGCACGCAGTAAGAAATATGTCACATGGCAGAGACAGGTTGCTTGGCATTTGACACCATCCTCATCCTCAAATGAGCTTGGTGACCGCTCATATAATCTGTCCTCAGTATTAGTGCACTTTGCCGATCAGATTATGAGTGTAATAAACATATTCTTTTAAGAGGTAACATAAACTTTGGAAGCCCCGACAACAATAGGAGAAATAATCTTGAAAACGTAACGATCGGCAGCGGCAAAAATGCTTGACTGCATCCTTGGGTATACGCTTAAGAATGCAGTTATCACGCTAAAAAAACAAACGAAAAGCTCCTACTACTCTCAAATTTATCGAGTTTCCAGAGATAACGTTAAAGCTCGTTTTCAATAGACAATTTTCCAAATCAGTATGGATTTTAGGCCCAAGATGATTAATCTAAGGAATTAGGAAAAATGGCGATTATGAATTAGTAGCGGTTGATTGAAATCAAACTATTTCATTACTAATTGTTTCGTTATACCTCTCTTGGTTGCTAAATTTTGTATCTAAACAAGAATAATGCTTTGGCACGGTCGTGTACGTGTTTAAAATGGAGTGATTTTGTAAGAAAATGGGATGAATTTTCATCAATTCAAATAAACAAGATACCACTTTAAGACATTTAAGTTGGTTTCATAAATTAAATTGCTTTTGCAGCCAGTTGTATTCAGCGGTCATTATACGAATTGCAACAGTAAATAATCCACTCATTGCATAAAGGGGGTAAGTTTCTAAAGAAACTGTGGTGCTGCGTTGGTGGGAAAGTATAGAAGGTAATTAAGTGTTAACAACTGAGTTGAAAACGTAAATTGGCATCGTAAAGGGTAAAAAAGCTTACGTTTCGAGTGTTAGCCCTTCGTCTGAGCGATTGAAGGGCTAACGCTCGAAACGTCAGCTTTTTTATCCTTTATGGTGGCCAATTTAAGTTTTCAACTCAGTTGTTAACACTAGTTGTATAGTTTGGGGAGATGACGAGCGAATTGCATTTAATTTGAAGCCGGAGGTGGCATTTGATCGTGTAATCTGTTCTTCCAGGTGAGTGTAGTCCTGAGAAGAACTGTTATCGGTAGTAGTGACTGACGTTTCGACAACCTAAACGGAAGTCATCATCAGAGTCAAGTGACGAGTTGCTGCCAGTCGCGTATTTTATGTCCTGATCGTGTAAAACTAACTGGTCAGTTTATCCGTGTTGTTATCACTGATTATGGATTTGATTATGTCACCCATTATTGAAGCACCGAGACCTGTTAATTGAACGGACACTGATCGGGTCTGACCAACGTGCCATTGTCAAAAAGTTTTGAAACAGACACTTCTGTTAACCCTCTATATGCTAAAACCAGTATACATATTTCCCACACTTTTCTCTATAAATTTCCTTGTTATTAGTAAAGAGAGTGTTTTTGATAGGAAAGTTGGCGAATTTTCAGGAAAACCTGACGAACTTCTGCGAACTAATATCGCAACTAAACCTCTCGAGCAACAGGAGCTGAGACAAGTTCTTGAAGCAGCGCAATCTGGTCTCTTAAACGGGATAACCCAGAATCTTTGGAAGAAAATATATCTTTTTCTGCAACTAGAAGCTTTTGAAAGCTTCATCAACTTTATTTATTTTCCAGCAATATTTGGTACATAATGTACGTGGTTTATTTAAATTTCGAATTTGTCAATAAATTAAAAGCTCTCTCATATTAATACAAACTAATTTGTTTGCTCTCACTTGTAAGAATAAGTTCATTAGTTTGGCTGTAAAAACAGATCCTGATTGAGCAAATTTTGTCTTCGGGCTCTCTCGATGGCTGACATTAACATGCTTTGACACCTGACTTGGGAGAAGTCCATCTGATCATATGGCTGAAAATAACAAAACAAAGAAAAGCAAAATTAGCTTTATCTTCCAGCTTTGGTGCTTTGCATTTCTGAGAAGTCTTTTAGCTTGGTTGTTCGAAGACAGTTAGCGCTAATGAAGGAAAGCTTACACTATTTAACAAGTGGATGCCATATTGCTCTACGGCTGTTCAGTAATTCACCTTTTCGACCTCAGATTTCACGTGTAGTGTCACGTGACTTCTGATGTAAACAAACCGCCAAACTTCGGACATTGAGTCAACTACCCACTACCTGTGTCCGATTTCGGCTTTGAAATTTTGTCGTAAACAATTTCCCTCCCCCGTGGTTAATTTTGCACGTCCTCATGATCTCACTTGGTTAAATGACATAGAAGTGGAATAATAAATGCATAATATTTCCATTGATCGTAATGTTTCTACATCGATGATTAACTTACCGTAAGTACCATGTGCAACTTATGGAGAATCAGCAGCAACATGGCCACTCCAAAGAAATGCAGATCTCCTAACCCTGAACCTGAGGGTGAAAGAGACACAAGGAATGTTAAGATTTATGGACGATTTTGACTTCCCATTTTACGAATAATTGTTTAATCAAATGATCGTGTACGCACCAATCAAATGCCTCCAGCAGGCAAATAGCTGGGAGGTAAGTGACATGCGCAGTGAAGACCATGTACAATTAAGCAGCTGGCTTGTCCAATGAGAGAGAATAGACAGCGCCGTGGAAACTAGAAAAAAACAAAAAACAACGGAATAAACGCAAGGCATGGTAGAAATCGGAAAATTAAATTTAAGGAAAAATCTGTAAGTTCATAAATTATTTCAGCTTATCCACTTTGCGACCTGCCATGGATTATGGGAACGTGACCTCTGGAAATGAGATTCCCTTCTGTTTCAAAACAACAACGAGGATCATTGAAAACTGTCGTAAGATAGAACTACTGTATTTGTAAATTGTGTTTTGGCGTTCTCCTTTTCATATCTAATATCATGAACTCACGAAAGCTTGATAACAATGAGTTCCTTTTCTAAACTAAAACAGAGCCATGGAGACAGCCTCAACCTTAGGTGTAGATAAAAATTTGTCAGAATATGTGTTAACACGAGGAATTGTGATCTTATCTTAACGAAATAGTAACTGATAGATTGTCTTGCCTTGCGTAGGACTAACTAAGAGAACAGAACACAAAAATTGTATCTGATGGACTGCCTTGCCTAGCGTAGGACTAGCTAAAAGGAACAGAATAATAAAATTGTTCTTGCTAGTGTAGATCAGTGCAAGTCATCTCAATAAAACAGTTGAAAGAAGATTTGGAAACGGAGAGTCACCTGAAGGTGTATTACAACCCGGAACTCCTACGAAGGGCTGGAGTGCTAGGGACAACCTAGGTCGTGCAAAAAGTGCGGGAAATATAAAGTACTTTTTATTGGAGCGAACATATGGAACTTTGAGATCATTTTGGTTTTATCAACTGAGTTAAAGATTGGCCGCCGTCAAGATCGGCAGCCCTTCCGCTCTGGCGAAGGGTTAACGCTCGAAACGTCAGCTTTGAAACTCTTTACGATGGCCTATTTACATTAACAACTCAGCTGATAAAACCAAAATTATCTTGTTACGTTCCTCCACCAAAGTAGCACCACAGTTTCTTTCGAAACTTCCCCCCTTTATTCGTATGGATGCTGTTAAAATTTGTTGAAACAATATTTCTTACGTTTTTGAGCACAAAGCAGGGGCGTGGCTCGTATAAAGTATCGTATACCCCACTGTACATTTAACAGAAACTTCCGCAGGGGGGTGGGTTCATTTTCCTCTATCAGCTCTGCCATGACACCAGCCAACCTAGGGAGAATAAACGCGACGATTAAACTCGCAGCGATGCAATTTAAGTCGTGTAATCTGTATCCAATTGTATTGACCTGACTTTGTGTTGGACACTGAATTTTGTTTCAAGAGCTGTGGGTCCAGTACCGCTGTTACAGACATCGGTCAGATAAATTTATTTTGCATTCAAAAAGGTAACATCGGGATGCGAATTAGAAGTACTATTCTACAAAGCTCTATCCTGACTCCAGTAGAATTAAGTAATGAGCAGCATTGCTCTCCGACAGAAGCAAAACGATATTAAACGTTTTAAGCGATTCGTTGTCCTCACCTTCCTGCAAACTCCACCCCAAGTCTGGGATCCTTACTGTTGTTAAAGCCTTGCACCAACAGTCGCGCAAAAACGCGTCCCTGTCTGAAGTTCGGGGGAAAAAATAAGAAAATACATATTTAATGACCTGGTAAAGGTCTTATTCACGTAAGCTTTCCATGAAATTCATCATCGATAAAAAAGGATCAATAAACGTCTTCTAGGTATTGAAAAGCCCTTCAAACAAACACTTTTTTTTCGATCGATGGTAGCGAATCTTATGAAGATGTTCCTACCTTACTTAAAGACGGACTTTGAACCCGTGAGATGCCTACATAAGCAACCAGTCAATATTTATCGCCTTTGGGAGGGGGTCAGATGATTATGATTGTGTCACAATAAAATGGTCAAACATTTACCTGTATTCCCTATAAGGCTCTGCAGTATTTAAATTCCCCCCTATTGGCAGTCAATTTTCTATGCCCCCCTTAAAACTCTGTTAGCGACAACTGATCCCCCTCCATTCCCCCCTGAATACTATATGATCCCTCAAAATATCCTCGCCCGAGCCCCCTCCTCCCTTGACAATGACTAATGACAGCTACTTCATCAAAAATTAATTAAGCTATTGACGATGCCATTAAAATAATATCCATCTAGTTGATAAAAACCAACTAAATCTTCCTCGGAAAATACATGTAAATCAGCAGGGCTCTCTGTGATAACGTTAATGCATGCAATAAGGTGTGTTTTCAAGAAAATTGGGTCACCATTATTATGAGGCTGACATCAGTCTTAGAACCGTGCATCATACTTGAATCATATCATTATTACAATAATTACTATTGACATAAACCCTAGGAAATGTAAGCTTTTATCAGTGCCGCCATCTGACTTGATGTAATTGTTCTTCCGATATTTGACACTCGGTTAGATCAAAGTATTCATTTTTTGTTAGCACCTGTTGGCAAAATTCAAGATAAATGTTCACTTTTTAAATGTGCTCTTACTGTCTTTTTATCTTCGTTGTTTACCTTCTTTGGAAATATAGCCAAAATTTTTTGTCTCCCTAGCCCTTTACTTCAAACGTTTAATATTGAATCACTCTCGACCTTTCACGATTTGAAGCTTAAAACGACAACAAGCGAAACCTTCCTGAATCACAAGTTTCTTTGCGAGTCGCAGTACAGCAGCATTTTCATTGCCCAAAAACATATATCGGGTTATGGGGGTCTTGATCTGGGGCTATAAGTTCTTCAGCTTGATGACTGAACGCAATTTCTTCGGATGAAGAAAAATTTATCAGGCTACATGTTCAGTTATTTTTATTTGGAGGCTTTTAAGCAAGTAGTTTACTGTCAAGTTCTTAGAAAAAAACATTCATTTCACTCTTCCATTTTAATAAGTATACGGTAGTGATTGTCATTTCCTGGTGTGCGCCTTTGTCATTCTTTCGCTTTCAAATACTTGGGATCTTTTTTAAGAACTGACATTAGAAAAAAAAAACAGACAATTAGAAATTATGATTTCAATTATCAGCGCACCGAAAAGGAACACTGAAATACTATCAGCAGATCTCTTTAATTACACAAATCGTCTTCTTTCTGAACGGAAATAGTAGCGACTTGCACCATTTTTAATCAGTCAGAGTTTCAATAGGATTTGTTGTATAAACAGAGTAAACGAAGTACCAGGAAAACGAATTAACATTTTGGTTTATCGCGTGTGAACGACCAACTCTTCGAACAGCGGGGAGCGAAGTAAACCTGTTGGTTCCTTATCCGTCGAGAGCGGGATATGATCCATAGAGTTTACAAAACAAGATGACAAAAAAAAAAGAATGACGACAAAGTTTTTTTTTTCCACAAGGGAGGTATGGTAACCTGATATTAATTTCTGTTGAACGCTAGTCAGTAAGTTTTCCACATCACATGGGAAGACTCCATCATATCTACCCACTTTTTTACCAGTGTTGTTTCTTTCATGATCCAATTTAACTAAGCCACATTTATGAGTTTTAAAAAGTGTTTTATCCACTCCAAATGTACCCTTATTGTAAATTTGTAACTTGTTAATTGCTATTTCCCTCCCATTTGTGAATAACCGCCTGTTTCAACCTGTTCTTGCGGTGCTACGCTTTCATTACTTTATTGAAGTATACTCTGGCTTTAGGCAATCAAAGTTATGTTCGATCAAACAAATATTTCAGAAACTGATCCATGAAATACCCAACACTGGCCTAAAACTGTATTGAAGGCCTAAGAGTTTTTAATTAAATTTTTATTCTATCCAGCAGGGCCTGTTTGTTATTCAAACTGGTAATTCATGACAGAAGTTAGAACTTTGTTCTTTCCTTAATAAAATAAACCCAATGTACTGACCGCAAAATAACTGGATTTTATTTCATCGTTCATTTTATCCCAAACCGCTATCTCTTCCACTGATACACATGAAAAGAAGTTACAAATATTTCAAAACACAACATTCTATCATCGCCTGTATGATCAGATGGAATAAACAAATAAGACCATTCAGGTTTTTTAGATTTCGTATTGTTTGATGCGAAATATAACGATATCAAAAACTGAATATGCCGTTTAGTTCCGCAAACAACTGTACAAACTACTTCAAATGAAAAAAAATTCCAAACCGGATATTGGACGCATACGCATTTCTCTTGCCGTAGCTTTTCTAAGCTGTGTTTGGCAATTATTCCTTATGGCCTTTTTTTTTCTTTCTCTTTTGTCAAACCTAAAAATCAATTTAAAAAAACTTCGTTTCTTATATGCACCGTTTTTTTTTTATCCATTTCGCACAATGAATATTTGAATCGCCCATTTTCCTAAAACTATTTTAAAGACGTTCGGGGAAATTTATATCTCATTGATTTTCGCCGACGCTCGGTGCTAAATGAAAAAATATTATGTACACCGTAAATTTTTTTCTTTTTTTCTTTCTCCTTTTTGAGTATATCTTTGAAACCAATTGCTAGCTAGACTCTCGCGATCGGTGTAAATTACTTCGAGCAATCTTATTTCAATAGCGTTGAATATTGTCTTTTGGTGCCATTGAAGCCTGTTCTGACGTGCTATTGAAAGCATCAAATTTAGCTTTTCATCTTCACATCGGCTAACAAAATATCTGTTCAAAAAATTTTTCTTCAACATTTAACAAATATTTTAAAACAAACCCTAAAATGAAAATAATTATGTCGCCGACTTTTAAATTTATTAATTCCCACGAGATCTTTTAACCTTCGTGTCAACTTTTTCCCTACCTGAAAATGTAGATGATATGTCTAGATGTGGAACCGGCGCGGTGAATCCACTGACTCGTACCCGAAATGTGGGATATTTCCGTTGGCAAAGGCACAAGTGGATCCCATCTGAATGCGCGGAATTCATTCCCTGCTTTCGGAGAGTTTTTAGTTTCTTCGTTATAAAAACTCGTTGGTAATGGATCTTTGAGTTTTTCGTGCCAATATTCATCAAAATACTTGCTGGCGAGTGATTCCCTCTCGAACAGTCTGTAATTCGTGGCAATTTTTTTTACATATCGATCTTTTTCCTCGAGATTCGCAGTGCTTTGCCAGAACGCGTGTCCGCACTGCAGACCTTCAAAGCGCCTGAAGTTTTCGTCTTTAGTCTTGAAAAAGTGTAAACACTCGGTCTTGTTATTTGACCAACGCCGAGCCTTCAGTTGCAGTCCTTGACCCAAAGGAAAATATATTGTGGACAAAAAGATATCGGCCAAAGAAGGCGCTCGTACGTCCACAAAAATGATCATAGCTGACATCGTGAGAGTGACAGCTAAAGAAACACAAACTATAACAAGCCGTAGGCTTGGTAGAGGCCATGAAGACGAGGTCGCCGCCGCCGGCTTCACGATCGGTTTGGGGCTACAGTTTGTGATGCTAACCTTCTTGGCAATCATTTTCTTGGACTCTACAGTGTTGTGTTCATCACAGACCAGCCTCGGCTGCCTTCGACAATATGCCGTGTTCTGTGCGGAAAAAACTGACTCGGGCCTTTAGCGAATGAATACAGATTATTACTCAATAGCTCGCATTCGAATAGAATATTACTCGTACATAAAGCTGATACCAAAACCGAGAAATTTTGGTGAAAAAAAGAATATTTCCGCGTTGTTAGATAAAAAGTCTTTTGAAGGAAATCGACTCAAGGCGATCGTAATTCGAAACGGCGCCAGTTGTTGAGTGGTTTTCGCGATCAATTTGTGTCCGCTTTTTGGCTCTATCTTTACTTTTGTTCTATATTTTCATTAAAGCGCATAAATTACTCTGCCGTGAAAGCTGCATATTATTCTGGGGAGAATAGGAACGATGTGATTGGCTGAAAGGTACTAATAATCAGAGTATAAACAAAACCCGTTCAATGAATGGAGCTACGACAGACAGAACAATAAAACCAATTTATGGAGCTCAAAACAGCTGTTTCGCGAGTAAATAATTTAAAAAATTGACAACGGAGAGAAACACGCGCGTTTTTTCCGCAGATGAATACAGCTGTTTGGATTATTAAGATCTCTCTATAATTTGCCATAGAATTTTTGATAAATTCTGTAAGAAAGTCTCTTCCAATCTAGTCGAAAATTGTCGTGTTAAGTTTACAAAAACATGTAAGGCATAAACTGAGTCAGGAATCTGCAATGAAATCTGCTCGTACTAATTCTTAAATAAATGTTGAATTCAGTTCTGAATTTTGTGGATTTCTGCCAAAAAAGGTCTTGGTGTTTCCTCAGGTAATTTAAAATGAGATGATTTAAATGGTCATTTTGGAAAACACTTGTTTCTACTTAGATTTAATTAATCCCTATTCTTTGGAATTGTTCAGCAATGAGGGAATCTATTTAAGCCCAAATGTCTTTTATAATCTCTTTCTCAGTTAAATGACATATTCTGTGGAGGTAAATGCGACATTTAAACATTTGCTTTCAAGTTTTGTTCCTGTTGTCTGTGAATCTAGGAGCCGATTTTGGTAGAATTTTCTGAATAATTATGAAACCGAGGGTGATAAATTGCTAACTCTAAACGCTCTAAACGCACAGCTGTCGGATTGTTAGAAAGAGCACAACAACAAGGAGGGGAAATGGAGATCTTATGTGTGTGAAGAAAGCTTTACTCTTCCGTCTGATCTGTACAACAAATTACTTATTTCTTTTATTTAATTTTCTTTTACTAAAGAGCGGTACTTGACTATAAATGACAGAGGAAGAGAATCCGACCATTATGGTGCACTCAGGTTATTATCAATAGATTTTCCTTTTTATTCCTAATGAACCAACTTTCTTAAAGTTTTCCTTTATTTATCTATGAGAACTTCCTGTCTTGAGGAAAGTCATGCTTGCATATTCAGCGGTCATTTTTCCTGTCAAAACAAAATCAATAAACAAACTAAAAACCACGTATAAAATGCAAATATTCGTGATAACCAAAAACAACGGTGTGTAATCTTTTCAAATTTAAGAGATAACTGAAGGTTTTGATCCAAATCTTACCTCGTCGGTTTTCATCTTAGACACTCAATATCCCAATTTAAATGAACTTTAATTCCTGATGAATACGAAGTAAATTTGGGTTTGAAATCTCATGATGTGGTATATTTCAAGGTTGTGTGTGAACAGTAGAAAGTTTCGAAATAAAAGTACCCTATCCTTTACTGATGACGTTTGAACATTTGGTCGTGGGTTTGTCAAGAGACTATGTTTTAATAATTTTTATCAAAAATTAATTTCGAGAAAAATATTTTGTTTTTTTATACGTATTCACCGTGGATAACTGTAACTGCGCTCAGTTTTAGATCAAAACAACCCAAGTTTTCACGGATAATCATAGAGGAAGGATTTATCCTTGATAAACATGAAACTCGTTATTTAAATTTCATTGAGATCACTTACATCTGCTTCATGCAATGAATCGAATTCTAAGCGTTCCCTGATTGGTTGTAACCTATCCTCTTTCAGGGTACAGACATGCAGTCGATGTTTTCGAAAAATTTATCATTTTCTTTGCTGAGTGTTATCGCATTTTTCACACCTTCTCAAGCAAACTTAGCTAAACCAAACAGGAACAACTTTGCACAGCAAAGCTAAAGGCTGGTTCCAAATTTTTCTCATTTTAATAGTCTTTTCACTACTATAGAGCAGATGTCGTTTGAGATCGAACACGGAAGACGCCGAAATGAAGCTAAAACATTATTGACATATCCGCCCTAGCGTTCCTATTGCGATTTGTCTCTTTCCACGCCACTTTGATGTCTTCTGAGATCTGCAGCTTAAAAGACACAAGTTTAAAACGTAAATCGTTTTGTGAGAGCTAAGTCAATGAAGCGATTAAGTCAGTTTCGGTGAAAGAAAGAATTTAAAGTTTTGTCTCATTGAAAACCTGTAAACGTTTATTACGAGCACGCAGCTTCCAAGCACCGTTCGAAACTTAAAATATACCTCAAAAATAACATGAGGGTTTGAATGATACACTTCTGCCTTTTCCCACTTCAACTATCGCGCATTAATTTTTTATGAACTCAGCCTTCTGCAAGTTACCCCAAGCAAAATTAAAGCAGTAATCCAACTCTACTTTATGCGCAGACATGGTAATTTAGTAATGTCAACTGAGATGATAACGTAAATTGGCCACCGTTAAGAGTTTCGAAAGTGACATTTCGAGCGTTAGTCCTTCGTGAGCGCGAATCATTCCATCCGACGAAGGGCTAACGCTTGAAACGTCATCTCCGAAACTCTTAACGGTGGCCAATTTACGTTTTCAACTCAGTTTAATGCTAATTTACCCTGTTATGCTCTCCCACCGACGCAGCACCAGTTTCTTTAGAAACTTACCCCTTTTATTGTATGTGCAGACAGTTTAATTAAAATATGATAGAGCGCAAAGGTAACTGCTGTCAGTGAGTTTCTTGTAAGTGACACTTTGGATATGCATAAACGACATCATACTGCGTCGTCCTTTGACGAACCTGAAGGAAGGATACGTTTCAACAGCACTGCTCACCAGTGGTCCAGCACCGCTCACCAATGGTCCAGAATCTAATAAACCCTCTGACATATGATGTCACCTGAAGAGCTCGATACTCACATGAGCTTGCTACTGTCTAAGTTCATCTATTACAGATTTGGTTAATACACTAATGCTCAGTTATCAGTGGTCCAGCACTGATAACCAATGGTCCAGAATCTAATAAACCCTCTGCCATATGATGTCACTCGAAGGGCTCGATACTCACAGGAGCTCGTCACTGTCCAAGTTCATCTATTACAGATTTGCATGATACACTAATGCTCAGTATGAATGTGTGGAAGATATTATGAACAACCTCGGTCCTTCAATTACGGTACCTATTATTCAGATAACCGTGAGTTTACAATCTTGATACAAAAGATTTTCTACAAAATACAAAATATACCCACAGGAAAAGTAGCTTTTTAGATTGATGATATAAACGATGTCTTAATTGTAATTAAGTGTGTGATAAAAAATTGTCTTAAACGCGCTAACAAACCTAAGTTAACCAGTCTCACCACTGCTAAGACAAAATTTTCACACAGACGCCAAAATTTTTTTTTGCCTTTGAGATGCGAGTTAAACAAACTTTACAAATTTCCAGAAAAACAGACGAAACATCCATCACAAGAGGAGAAGGCATCTCCATCAAATTTTGGACTCTTCCGTCTGGATTTGGACGATTCTGTCTCATTTTGAACGCTTTCCTCCGATTTGGAATGTTTATTTCGGACGCTTTCGTCTGATTTTGGACGTTTCCGTCCGATTTCGGACATTTCCTTCCAATGTTTGAGCAGATTTATTTCTTGACCTCTACCCTCTAACCTTTAACTATTGGCAGACCGTAAAGAAAATATCTTCAGCACTCCTTGAGGGAATTCAATCTGGGCAACATATGAACAGGGGCTCGTAAAAAGAAGTCTTAAAAAGGCCCTTTTATTCATAGTTACATACATACAATGCTTCATTCCGGTCATTCCGTGAATTGTTTTGCGTGTGAATAAACAAAGGGCGCAAAAGATTCCAATGACGTAGATAATCAAGGGTATCAATTGATCACCACATAACTGACAGAAACTGCAACCGTTTCCAGCAGTGCTGGTCTGTAAACCAAGTTCACAACTACGTGGCTTATTATCTTTCTTTCTCTTTTGGGAATTTTCACAACATACCTAGTGATCCAAAAGGTAAGCACGAGGGAAGTGTTTAGACTCGTCTTCTTAGAGTCATTGACTATATTAGGGTTATATTGCAGAGGCTGTCTACATTCGAGTGCGAGACTTGTCGATTTGTTGATCAACTTGATTGCAACTCGTTTTACTCCACTCTGTAGATTCTTTAGTAATTTGAGCAATTGTTCTACTTCAGTACAGTCCAGGCTGGATGCCTCTTTTAGGACTTAAAATTTCTCCAATTATTCTGATCTCGTCTTTTCTAGACACTCAATCCAAAGCCTAAAAGGGTACAGCTGTGGAATACAAGGTTTATGGGAACCAATTGTGAACGCTTTGTAATGAGAACAGTAGGCGCCATTTTTATTCAATTAAACTGCATAGGAAGGAGCTAAGTCTATGTAATTATTTTCTTTAGAAACCTTTGTGCTTCGTCAGCAAGTTTATGAAACTGGAAATCGATGAAGACAGAAAGTAGATCAATCACAGTGGAGAATTTTTAAAAGCTGACTTTTCGAGCCTTAATTCACATTCGGAGCGAATTTGCGATAATTTTAAGTTCGTTAAGTTGTCTGTGACGTAAAATGCAAATCAGCACCTTTTCTCCAAATACAAAGGACATTGGTAAATTATTAAAACTTTTTAATAACAGCAAATTAAAAGACAAATCTAAGGGTAATTAGCTGGTTTTCTTTTAAGGATAACATATCTGACTGACTACACTGAAAGGTTAATCTGCACGGAACACTCCTCGCATGACATTATTCATGTAAGCTTTGATAGAGACTGCTCTTGAATTAACAGAATCCTTAATCCTGACTGAGTCATCGCTATAATTCACTCTTCAAACTATCCAAACTAATTTTTTCCAGTTTTGAACACCATGAATTTCTTCTTTTTATTGTAGATGCCAAATTCTGTGCGTATTTCTTTACCTGTACTGGGTGTATTTTCACAGAAATGCTTATTTTTAAATAGTGATAACTGACGAAAATGAATTAGATTTTTATTGTAATGAGTTTATTTGATTTGACGAGAGACCAACTTAAAATTCTGATTCACTGATTCACTGATTGACGGACTGACCAACTGACTAACTGGCTGACTGGCTGACTGACTGACTA